TTTTTTTTTTTTTTTTTTTTTTTTTTTTTCTTTCATTGAACACCAAAGACATCCGACACGCTTGCTCGTTGACGATGGCGTGTCGAAGCGATACGGTAATCGAATAAAAATCAAAGCGACTGTTACCTATCAAAAGATCCATCCGTGAAGAAGCCATTCTGGTCAACTGAGGTCGCAGGGACAGTTAGAAATCCTTCGGAAAGTCATCGGCCAATACCAATAGCGGAATTCTTCCCTTGGATCATAGCCAAGCGGGACGTCTATCTAACTGTCTTTAAAGCGCTTATCGTCACGGCGTGACACCGCGCGCAATTCAAATTTATGAAAAACTTCAAGACCACGTGGGAAACCCGTTTCCATACATAAATATCCTACATGTTGATCACGCGTCAATTCGCATTAAAGAGGCCGTCACGTCCTCCATTGTTCCGCTAGACGAAGAGTCCTATTACGTTACGCATTTGCTAACTAACGCTTCTGTATACCTGTTAGAAGGAACTGAATGGACCTTTACGATCCAGACCTTACAACCTCATTTAACCTTTCTCTTCGTGATTGACAAGAATTTTTCCATCGCTACGATGACTTTCGGGTGACTTTAATTGTCCCGGGTATCTTTTTCTATTGAGATACAAATGTCCTACAGGCTCCTGCCAAAACGTGACGAAATCGTATCGTATCGGTGACCACTCAAAGAAAGAAAGAAAAGGATAGAAAAAAGATAAGGAACAACAACGGACAAAAGAATCGTGATGCTGTGAAAATGACGCATTCGATTCATGATATAACTGTCTACAGTTTCCGTCACGATGTTCTTACCGGTCTGTTGAACCTGAGTCCAGGGTTTCTCTATACGTGATACAGGAATCTCCCAGGATGCTGCGATGCTTTGTTTCTTAGATGCTGTAAAGACGCGTGGACCATATATAATGTGTATATATATATATATGTTCAATGTATTTTGGAGTACCGTACGCGTTTGCGTCTTACATGTGAATTGGCCAGTATAACGGGTATCACATTAGCCGGAGGCTTATTTTGTTTTGGCATATTGGCAACCCTTGGTTATACAATATATATAACGTATTTGGTAATCACGTTGATTTTTCGTTTGACAGCTAGTAATCTGTTGCAAGTGACAATACCTTGATCTGACAGTGACAAGGGATTCGCCTGTAGTCTCGTTTAAAGAGTTCTGTACTCTATTGTTCTATAAATTATCTTAACGGTTCATTACGAGATTGAAGTTGCCTCGAGTAATAAATTCGACGTGAGTTTTTCACCTTCGAATTTTGGACGTAGGATTTTTGTTATCTCCTTCTCTTATTGCTTTGATTCAATTTTTTTTTTTTCATTTTTACAGGCTAATCAAGTTCGAGAATGAGAATTTGGACCGTGTGCTTCCTTGCACTGGCTATTGCCACTGCTGTGGAAAGTGGTAAGGCTTCTATTTTTGTATAATTTAAAAAATCTTATTTTGTTCGATAATTTTGTTTTTTCCAAAAAAAAAAAAAAGAATGTATTTGCCTCAAAACAGTTGGTTTTTTAAATATTTTTTCATTAGTTCTTCGCAATTCCCGACACCTTCAACCGCGAAGGTACTTTCAATTAAAAGATCTCACGATGTAACCCTTCTTCAAGGCGCAAGCAATACCAACCTGGAATCTTCCAATTACGGCGCGCCGATGTGCGGATCGCATGTGCACAATATAAGCCGCGTTTGCGAGCAACTATTTTTGTCGGTACGAAGGAATCTTCCTCGATGGTTGTGGTTGTCGTCAAACAGGTTTCCAAGGCGCTGCCATCGACCATATGTGCCTAGAAAAGTCCTTTTGCTAGTAAATAAATGAATAAACACAGCGAGAGACCAATCGTTAAAAAGATAAATCGCAATCCTGACAATTTTATCGATTGCTTGAAATTATTTTATCTAATTGGCACATTTAATTTATAATCGTTTCAGGTTCTCATAGACCGAGGAACCGTTACTCAAGACTTCGCATATTCAAAAAGGCTGAAATACCTTTTAAATGTGCCAAAGAAGGATATCATCCCGATCCTTACGACTGTCACGTCTACCATAGGTGCGTAGACTGGGGCAATGGCAGCCCAATGTCTGCGTTTAGATTTGAATGTGGCCCTGGGACCGTTTTCTCTAAGGATAAGGGCGACATCTGTACTCATCCTGGGGAGAGTGGACGTCCTGAATGCGGTGGATCTGAAAATGATATAGAATCTGATGGACAGGGTTGGCAACAACCTTCTACGACAGTTTCTTCTAGTACCACTGATGGTACAACGACTACGAGTACTACACAGGTTCCTAGTACTACAACGACGGAAGCTACGACAACGACGAGTACTACAACTCAGGCTACTACGACTACGAATGCTCCAACAACTACACAGTCGAGTACTTCTGGTGGAAGTAGTAGTAGACCGGAATGTATTCAGGAAGGATTTATGTTGGATCCTGAGGATTGTCAGAAGTTCTACAGATGTGTATCTGATCGTCCTGGCTCTTTTATAAGATATGAATTTACTTGTGGAGTTGGTACAGTTTGGGATCCAAAAATTGAGGGCTGCAACCATGCGTGGGCTGTTTCGAGAGATGACTGTAAGCAGAACCTTCAGGATCCCACCGCTGGCGGGGATAACGGAGAGTGGAATGGGGATACTGGGAGTAATGGAGGGCAGTGGAACGGGGATACAGGGGATAATAGTGGACAATGGAATGGTGATGTTGGCGATAATGGTAGTCCTGGACAACCTGGAGCGCCGGGAGATCCTAATGGGCAGCCAGGAGAACCAGGAGATCCTAATGGACAGCCAGGACAACCAGGAGATCCTAATGGCCAACCTGGGGAACCAGGAGATCCTAATGGGCAACCGGGAAGACCTGGAACTCCGGGGACACCAGGGACCCCTGGAATTCCAGGAAAGCCAGGGGCACCTGAAGGTCCAGCAACGCCAGGAACGCCCGGAACTCCAGGAACTCCAGGAACACCGGGAACACCAGGGACGCCTGCAACTCCGGGAACACCAGGAACACCTGCAATTCCGGGAACCCCTGGAACACCGGGAACTCCAGGGACGCCTGCAACTCCGGGAACTCCAGGAACACCAGGAACTCCGGGAAAACCAAGTACGCCTGGAACCCCTGGAACACCAGGAAAACCAGGAACACCTGCAACTCCAGGAACACCAGGGACGCCTGCAACTCCGGGAACACCAGGGACGTCTGCAACTCCGGGAACTCCAGGAACTCCAGGAAAACCAGGCACGCCTGGAACCCCTGGAACTCCAGGAATACTAGGAACGCCTGGAACACCAGGGGAACCAGGAACCCCTGGAACTCCGGGAACACCAGAAAAACCAGGTACGCCTGGAACTCCGGGAACACCAGGAACGCCTGCAACTCCAGGAACTCCAGGAACATCAGGAACTCCGGGAAAACCAGGTACACCTGGAACCCCGGGAAAACCTGGAACACCAGGGAAACCTGGAACGCCTGGAACTCCAGGAACACCAGGAAAACCAGGTACGCCTGGAACCCCGGGAACACCTGGAACTCCAGGAACATCAGGCAAACCAGGAACTCCTGGAACACCAGGAAAACCAGGTACGTCTGGAACTCCGGGAACACCAGGGACGCCTGCAACTCCAGGAACTCCAGGAACATCAGGAACTCCGGGAAAACCAGGTACGCCAGGAACCCCGGGAACACCTGGAACTCCAGGAACATCAGGCAAACCAGGAACTCCGGGATCACCAGGAAAACCAGGTACGCCTGGAACTCCGGGAACACCAGGGACGCCTGCAACTCCAGGAACTCCAGGAACATCAGGAACTCCGGGAAAACCAGGTACGCCAGGAACCCCGGGAACACCTGGAACTCCAGGAACATCAGGCAAACCAGGAACTCCTGGAACACCAGGAAAACCAGGTACGTCTGGAACTCCGGGAACACCAGGGACGCCTGCAACTCCAGGAACTCCAGGAACATCAGGAACTCCGGGAAAACCAGGTACGCCAGGAACCCCGGGAACACCTGGAACTCCAGGAACATCAGGCAAACCAGGAACTCCTGGAACACCAGGAAAACCAGGTACGTCTGGAACTCCGGGAACACCAGGGACGCCTGCAACTCCAGGAACTCCAGGAACATCAGGAACTCCGGGAAAACCAGGTACGCCAGGAACCCCGGGAACACCTGGAACTCCAGGAACATCAGGCAAACCAGGAACTCCTGGAACACCAGGAAAACCAGGTACGTCTGGAACTCCGGGAACACCAGGGACGCCTGCAACTCCAGGAACTCCAGGAACATCAGGAACTCCGGGAAAACCAGGTACGCCAGGAACCCCGGGAACACCTGGAACTCCAGGAACATCAGGCAAACCAGGAACTCCTGGAACACCAGGAAAACCAGGTACGTCTGGAACTCCGGGAACACCAGGGACGCCTGCAACTCCAGGAACTCCAGGAACATCAGGAACTCCGGGAAAACCAGGTACGCCAGGAACCCCGGGAACACCTGGAACTCCAGGAACATCAGGCAAACCAGGAACTCCTGGAACACCAGGAAAACCAGGTACGTCTGGAACTCCGGGAACACCAGGGACGCCTGCAACTCCAGGAACTCCAGGAACATCAGGAACTCCTGGAAAACCAGGTACGCCTGGAACCCCGGGAAAACCTGGAACACCAGGAAAACCTGGAACGCCTGGAACTCCGGGAACACCAGGAAAACCAGGTACGCCTGGAACTCCAGGAACTCCAGGAACATCAGGAACTCCTGGAAAACCAGGTACGCCTGGAACCCCGGGAAAACCTGGAACACCAGGAAAACCTGGAACGCCTGGAACTCCGGGAACACCAGGAAAACCAGGTACGCCTGGAACTCCAGGAACTCCAGGAACATCAGAAACTCCGGGAAAACCAGGTACGCCTGAAATCCCGGGAAAACCTGGAACACCAGGGACGCCTGCGACTCCGGGAACACCAGGAAAACCTGGAACGCCTGGAACTCCGGGAACCTCTGGAACACCGGGAAAACCAGGAACGCCTGGAATCCCTGGAACTCCGGGAAGACCAGACGTTTGTCACGAAGAAGGCTTTTTCCCGGATCCCGAAGATTGCCGCAAATTCTACCGATGCGTTGGTGATAATTCCCATTTCACTAAGTATGAATTCTCTTGTGGAACTGGCACTGTTTGGGATTCCAAAGCACAAGCATGTAATCACTATTACGCTGTTCCAACCTGTAACCCAGACAGCGGAGAATCAATAAATCCTGTTGTTGACGGATCAGATCCATCTCTCAACGAACTAGACACTGCAAATCCACCAGATTCAGGAAATCAACTAGGAACAACCACTACTACCGTAAGTTCTACAGCCACCGAACCTGCATTCACGTCTCCTCAACCAGAAGTTTCATCGCAATCTCCATCAGATGCAACCTCTCAGGAACCCGAGTCTTCAACAACACCAAGTACAGTTACTCAAGTCTCTTCAGTTTTACCATCATCCACCGTGGGATCGACACAATCATCCTCAACTTCATTAGAAACAAGTCAGCCCCCTGCAATTTCTTCAATACCACAAGTAGAGTCTAGCTCAGTACCGCCTTCAGGATCAACGCAACCTGGTCAATCTGGAAAATCTACTTGCACCGAAGAAGGTTTTTTCTCAAATCCTGACGACTGTAGAAAATTCTATCGATGCGTAAAGGAAAATTCAGCTTTTCAGAAGTATGATTTCACATGTGGTCCAGGAACTGCATGGGACCAGAGTATTCAGACTTGTAACTTCATTGCTCAAGTATCGTCATGCAATCCAGAATCCAATGAAATACCTGAAAATACAACACCGGGAAATAACGAAGTAGGAGCCACAAAACCCGCATCATCAACAACGAGACAAACATCACCATTTACACAACCTTCATCAATTCCTAGCTCTTCTGCAACAACTTCAGCCCCAGCAACTGAAAAACCCACACAAACCTCATTAGCATCATCTTCAACGGCCGCAGAGATCCAGACATCGCCATTAGATTCTAGTACTGAATCTTTTTCGTCGGAATCAAGTTCCTCATCATCAGAATCAACTTCTAGTTCTGAGACTTCCAGTTCCAGTTCTACCGAAGGAAGCGTGCCGCCCTGTGCAACTCCAAAACCAAATTCCACCATTGTCTGCAATGAGGAAGGTTACTATCCTAATCCGAATCAGTGTGATAAATTTTATCGCTGCGTAGATAATGGTAAAGGTTTCAATGTCTACCACTTCAATTGCGCACCAGGAACCATCTTTGATCCCAGCATAAATATATGTAATTATCCCGAATCAGTATATCCCCCTAGAGACTGTGCAGTAGCACAAAATACAACTGAAACACCAGAAAATTCTACACAAGCAACAACAACACAATCTGGTGGAAATAGTACACCGGTAGACGAATCGAGTTCTTCGACAGAAGGTACAACAACTGAATCAGAGCAATCCAGTACGACCGAAAGTTCAACAACAGCAAGTTCTGGGACGGCAGAACCAACTTCAACGACAACAGAATCCGGCAGTGAAACAACCACAGGAATATCTGCCGAAACAACCACAGGAATATCTGCCGAAACAACCGAAGCTACTACGCCACAAGTAGAAAGCACCACAGAGCAATACACGACGACCGTGGCCACTGATACAACAACAGAATCTCAAAAAGAAACCACAACAAACTCCCAGGAACAAATAACCACGACTACCATTGTTACAACAACGGAGTCTCAAGAAGAAACAACGACAAACTCTCAGGAACAGACAACAGAAGCAAACACAACAGAAGCTCAAGAGCAAACAACAGCGTCGATCACAACCGAAGTTTCGGAAGAAACAACAACGCAACCACCCGGGACTACAACAAGCTCAGCAACGACAGAATCTCAAGAGCAGACCACGACAGAGTCCCCGGAGTCTATAACCACTAGTCAGACAACGACAACAGAATCTGAAGAACAGAAAACAACAGAATCATCTACAACAACAGAATCATCTACAACAACAAAATCATCTACAACAACAGAATCACCTACAACAACAGAAGTAACAGAAACGACCACGGAATCACAAGAGCAAACAACCGAATCCACTACGACAGAATCTCAGGAAGTAACAACAACGGAATCCTCATCGTCAACAACCTCACCAGCGATCTCAACCCCATGTCCAATAGGAAATCTCACTGACGAGCAGATAGCTCTAGTCTGTCCCACTGGTTTCCGCCGTCATCCAAAGTACTGCAATCTCTTATATCAGTGCACAACGGCCAGTAACATGGAGATCAAGATCCTGATCCTGAGTTGTCCAGAGAATACAATCTTCGACGAGGAGAGGGTCCAGTGTCTACCTGAAAACGAAACCAATCAAATTTGTAAAGGAGTCAAGGCTGACGCTAGATTCTACAGAAGACTTCAAGACAATTCCATGCCACCAGTAAGTAATCGGTATAAAAAATTTTCCAATAACTCAACAACAATTATCAATTTTTTCTTTCTCATTTTTCAGATCAAGGTTCAAGGTAATACGCTCTGCCCGGCAGAAGGTCATTATCCTTACAGACAAGGATGCAGCAACGCCTTCTACAAATGTAAAAAGGATATCTACGGATCACTCGAAGGATACCTTTACAAGTGTCCCGCAGATTTCATATACTGGTCGGTGTCGCGTCGTTGTGAACGCGTCACGCGGTTACCCATGTGCTCGCATATGGCTTACAAGAATAAAAATTATACCTGGGAAACGCGCTGGGAGGTCCCTGTTGAGGATTACAACTTATCCGCCAGAATGCTTAACTTTTATTAATACGATCTGCATCGCCCAAAATCTCACGGTGCCGTAGAGTATTTTCGTTCTTCATCATTAAACGTTCTTCACAGCCACTTACACATAGAACGTATAAGCTTTATCAAAGGCGATCAACGCAATCGGCATCTTACAATTTGCCGGGCTACAAAGCCCGTTTATTGTCTCTAGTAATAGTACATTTTACAAGTATAATGGGAATCTCCGTACGATTTTTACGAGCTCCTAAGGGCAGACTCCGAATTAGCTATAGCATAGATTACGTACTGAGGTAACCTTGCCCTTTCCGTTTTATTTTATTCGCCTGATTTACATGACATGGGCTATTCAAACGAAAGGGTAGTTTTAGCATAGCATCGTGTAACAGGCATTAGCTAATTTCAAGTTTAACCCCTGGTCCGATCGACCGCTATATCGATCAGTAATGATATGGATTTTGCGTATATTTTTTTTTTATTTTGGACCTTACCGACTTTTATTACTGAGCTGTGAAAAATCGTATGCGACGTTCAGGGTTTTTTTTTGGTTGCGGGACTCTTATGCAATAGTGACTGTATTTTTTATTAATGCTATTATTAATATTAATGCGATGCGCCCATAATGATAATTATTATCTTGTGTTCTCGCATCATGTCGTATTTGCAACAAATCACGGCAATGAAATCAAAAGGCATTACTACTCTTTGTAGAAGACTTACTTGTCGCCTCTATTTACGTGTATATAATTATTTCTCTTCCATTTTGTCTTCATTTATGTTTTATCGTAAAAGAATTATTAGTCGCTTTTGTAACTCGAATGTGTGTTAGCCTCGTAGCGTGATTCTTGTGTGATACCTGAATATCTATGATATCTTTTGTGTGAGACTTTTTTTTTAATAAATAAAACAAATCAAAATGAATACGGATACTTTAAACTCCGATCCCAGGTCCGATCACAGGTAACCAATGGAATGGACGGTGGCGAGGGAAATTTTAAGCATCTGCAAACTTTGAATTTTTTTTGTTGATTTTTTTTTTGTGACAACGTAAAAAAACATGGGAAGAACACTCAGAGCTCGCACTTGTCTACTGTTTCTGTCGCAAACTCAGTTTTGTTGGTGATCAGATGAGATTGGCTCTCATTTAGAAACTCAAAAGTTTTCGATAAAAAAGAAGTCTTTTTTTTATTATCTGCAATACCTACTTTTGGAACGCTCTCTATATCAGCTTTAGTATTTAATTAATATCCACTTGATCGACGCGATTTTAATAAGATAAATGATAGTTCAATATCGATTTATTAATTAAAATCACTGTATTAAATTTGGATACTATTGTTTGCGGTATTTTCTTTTATTTCAAATGGGGCCGTGATAAATACGTTCCTGGAAAATGTAATTTCCGAAAATCCTCTTGGAGGCCTCTAACGGCACAGAAGATGCCTTTAAGCAGCTGAAGGATGATTTTTGAACGTATGTATATGTTGTTTGGGATTTTTTATGAAGCGACGTAGTAAATATAACACGAAAATCTTACTCGACGGCAATGGTGAGTGGGAGGGAAGATCATTATGACATCAAAGGATTGCAAACAAATTTTTTCATTTTTGATACACCCTGGTAGTACGCAATTTAGTATTTCATAATGTTTAGAACAATTTATAATACAGCTTGCTGTGATTTCACTTTAGGCAAACATTTTGCTTTACATTAACGCTTCGAGAAAGCTCGCTTTAAAACGTTTGTAAATTGGAATAAGACTGTTGACGGCTTTTTCAAGGATTTCCCAAGATAAGCTACTAGTGGAATGAAAGTGTTATACCAAGTTATGAATAGTTCTTATTCATCGATATAGTAGTCTTGACTACTAGTGACTTTTCTTGAAGACTGAAAAACGTAAATAATAAAGGCAAAATTAGTACCAGTAACTGTAAACTGTTGTCCCCTATGACCCTATGATGAAAAAGCTATGAAAGTACAGGAGTGCTGTGACTTCCTCTAACAAAAAGTATTGAAATCATATTATTAATGCCAAACACGTAGTTCATTACATACCTGCTTATTATATGATCTAGCACTAGCCCATCAATTTAATTGTATTTTCGAAATTTCCAATAACGTCTTCGCTACTCTTTTACAGAGATGAGTAGGGAGATGCTCAACGCTACGATTTTTGGCGATACCAAAAGCATGGCGCTAAATCGTATCGACGAGTTCGGGAGTAGGATTTTGTGATCATCACCTCCGTCGATAATGCACATCCCGTCGTATCCGAGCTGAACGTGATCACGAACGTGTAGCTTGGCCGGTAGAGGTTCTACGTAACTTACCACTGGTTCCCAGAGCAACCCCTAGAACGAGGACGTTCATCAGATATTGCCTAAATATTTTTTTTTGTAATGTTAAATTCGAGTACTCGATAAGATGTACTAAGACAAAAGCCAGGACCTCATACCTGCCTGCGTTAAGGAGTGCAGCGATGCGGTGCTAGCTTCCAGCATTATTTAACAATAGTTCCAAGCGGAACTATAGTCCCAACATTAAGTACTAGAGAGAACTATCTCGAAACTGTTTGGAACACAATCTGAAAACAACACTGAAAGCCAGCTCCTTATGCATACCTGCACTGAAGCGAATGGTGCGACTAGTAGCCTTAATAGGTATTTTACCGATGTTACGTAGCAGAACTATCGTTAAAACCTATCAGGAACTATAGAACTCCTCGAGAACTATTGAAAAAGCCTATTGTTGAATCATTTTTAAGAGATTTTGAAAAAGTGCGGTGCTGCAGCTGACACCCGTGTAGCGCCTCAATTTTTGGAAAATATTTAAGCTATTTCTGATGAACGGCCTCGTTCTATGGGTTGCTCTGGGAACCAGCGGTAAGTGCGTAGAACCTCTACCGACCAAGCTACACGTTTGTCATCACGTTCAGCTCGACTACGACGGAATATGCTGTATCGATAAAGGCGATGATCACAAAATCCTACTCCCGGACTCCCCGCTACAATTTAGCGCCATGTTTTTCGTATCGCCTAAAACCGTAGCGTTGAGCATCTCCCTACTCATTTCTGTATCTACTCAACTCTGGCTGACGTATCGTTCATGATTCATGTGACAATTGTCAAGTGTCATAGTGTAATTGACCCGAAGAAACAAGATTATAATTTTTGCTGAAAAACTAAAGCTTTCGGATCAATAGAATGTTCCGGAGCTTGGCTTACTTTTCTAAATTGCTCGGTAAGTTTTTTTTTTTTTTTTCCCCCTAAATAATGAGAGTTTACTGGTTCCTGTCGAGATACGCTTATCATAGTTAACATTATATTTTGCATTTAAACAGATAAAGCTACGAGTAACCTACGACTCGAGCCTGACTGGCCCACAATATTGCAAATTTGCGATGTCATTCGACAAGGCGATGTTCAGTAAGTGAACCTTGCATACTATAGGCGTTTCAGGCTAACCTGGAATAATCCTAGTCAGAAATTTCTAGTGTCAAAGCAATTGTTTTAGCCAGATACAAATTTTGAATGTTGTTTAAAAAATAAATTTCTGCAAGATCGGGTTGCAGATTGTTACTTTGCATTGGATTTGTAAACCACCTGACTGATCTTTAACAACTTATTTGTAAATTTAGGCCGAAACCTGCTCTCGCTGCTATAAAGAGAAAGCTGACAAATCCCAATCCACATATTGCATTTTTTAGTTTGTTGGTAAGTAAGTCACGGTAAGTCATGGTTGATGTTATACAGGAAAACCATGACTTAATGTGCATCTTTTATTTTAGGTATTAGAGTCCTGTGTAAAAAACTGTGGTAGCTTGATTCATGATGAAATCGGTACAAAGCAGTATATGGAGCAGCTCAGAGAGCTTGTAAAGACAACGCCACATGAGAACGTCAGGTTAAAGTTACTTGAATTGATTCAAGCTTGGACGTTTGCGTTTAGAAATAGTCCCAAATATAGAGCCGTTCAGGTGAGAATATTTGGTTTTTCTACCTCCCTTTTTGTACTTGTATCAGTGGTGTGTATCTCTTTCATATGATAACCACTTACCAATTCTATGACTCCTAACACATATCATTTATATTACATATTTAAAATACATTAGTATTCCGCATGAGCTCGTTGGGACCAGTTGAAATCGTTTTCTCTCTAAATAGTATTTCTCTATCAATAATATAAACTTTATAATTTCACAACAGGATACTATGAACGTTTTGAAAGCTGAAGGATACAAGTTTCCTACTCTCAAAGAAAGCGACGCAATGTTCAGTGCCGATACTGCTCCAGCATGGGCGGACGCAGATGTTTGTCATCGCTGCCGTGTAGCTTTCAGTATGGTGCAAAGGAAGCACCATTGTCGTGCCTGTGGCCAAGTTTTTTGTGGTCAATGCTCTAGCAAAATGTCTACTTTACCAAAATTTGGAATTGAGAAGGAAGTTCGCGTGTGCGAGGCTTGTTACGATCAAGTTAATAAGTGCGTATCAATTTATATTTATAGTCTCTTTTCAAGAAGAGTTCTAAATTTATAACTTTCATTTTTTTTCCCCCGTTCAGGCCAACCACTACTGCTCCTAAGGAAACCGATCTCCCTGCAGAATACTTGAACAGTTCTCTGGCACAACAGCAGCAGGTAAAAATTATATCCTTAAGACATAGGAGCAAAGAGTCACCCTAGCGGATTCATTGATTCGATTAGATTCATAATTCAATTAATAAACAAAGATGGCTTCTCTCACCATGCAGCTATAGTCAAACATTTCTAGAGATAATTTTTTTACTGGAGAAGTCTAGACTGATACAATGAGTACAAAGTTTAAAGCACTGATAGAAGGCATTGCTTAATGTATTCTTTCATCAAAATTAGTGATGAGCACTAGCAGACGCGTTTTGCTAAGCTTGTAAGCTCACTTGTCTTTTGATATTCCAGCTGTCAAATGATTGTCAGGCATCTTGAATTTTATAAATCGTTTAGCAACTAGCTGGAACCTCTAGTCCCGATTTTGTAAGGAAATTCCTGAATAATGAGTCGCCACAGAACAAGTATTCTAAGAAAATCGACCAAGTTCCTAAATCCTCGTTACCGTAGAAATACATTACTTGATGAACCCTATTACAACGTACGTAATAACCTCAAAGAGTTACTATTTGCTATTCCCGAAATTCACATTAGGTGCCGCCGCGCAAGACAGCAGAGGAACTCCAAGAAGAAGAGGAACTACAGCTAGCCTTGGCTTTGAGTCAGAGTGAAGCTGAACAGAAAGAGAAAGAAAAGAAACGTGCAACTAGTGCCCTAAAATCAAATCCCACTCCAGTTTCCAGAGCAGCTTATTCTCCACCATCATCACCGGTAAAAAAAAAAACCACTTAATAAATTTACCCAGATAAACTGTCAGTTCCACTAGAACTTTTGGATTGTTTGAAAATTCCTTCAGGGCCCCAGTCCATCGCGTGTTCAAGAAGAAGAAGAAGAAACCGATCCAGAACTTGCTAAATATTTGAATCGCAAATATTGGGAACAGAGACAAACTGCAATAGAGGAACATAGTTCCAGGGCGGACATAGCTAGTCCATCCGCACCCAACATTAGTAGTCCGATGCCCCAGAAGGTCATCGTGGCAAAGTCTCAAAATGAAGAAGTCGATACACAAATGGAGGAATTCGTTGGAGCACTGAGGTCTCAGGTTGAGATATTTGTGAACAGGATGAAGAGCAATTCATCTCGTGGCAGGTCCATTGCCAATGATAGTTCTGTACAAACTCTGTTTATGAATATCACAGCTATGCATTCAAGGTCCGTTCCTTATACAGAAACATATCAAACAAGTATGAAAGTAGATAGGATATATTGATTAGAGGTTGCTTATAGGTTGCTGAAACACATCCAAGAACAAGATGATAGTAGAGTTTACTATGAAGGACTTCAAGATAAATTGGCTCAGATGAAGGATGCACGAGCAGCATTGGATGCTCTTCGCGAAGAACATCGTGAAAAATTGCGCAGGCTAGCTGAAGAAGCCGAGAGACAACGACAGCTTCAAATGGCGCAGAAATTGGAAATTATGCGTAAAAAGAAACAGGAGTATTTGCAATATCAACGTCAGTTGGCTCTACAAAGGATCCAAGAACAGGAACGGGAAATGCAGATGAGACAGGAGCAACAGAAGCAGCAGTATATTATGGGTCAGTTTCTTTTAATTTATTAATCAATGTTGCAACTTGTTTCATTGAAGTACACGAATTTACTTTGTGCTGCTTTCTTTTTTTCTAACAGGTAACTACCAACAAGTGCCAGGATTTATGGGACCATCCGCTCAGGGTTCTCCAATACGTCATGGTCAGTATTCAGGACCCACGTCAAACTACAATCCGATGTCTCCAACGAATCAGGGAGTTTATATATATGGAGGCCAACCTGCCATGGGCCAATACCAGATGCCAGGTTATGGAATGCCATCGATGGGTCCTATGCCAGCTCATATGATGGGCGCAATGGGGAACCAAGAGCCCCAGGGGTCTGCTGATCCGTCTGTTCAAGGTCGAGAAAATCTCGGTCGTGTTTCGATATCAGGTCCAGGGATGGTAAGTAAATTTCGAAAATAAATTGGAAAAAATTATGTATCATAAAAGTAAAGAAACTTCTATGTCGAATAGATGACTCAGATTCCAGGACCTCCAATGCCGCAGATGCAACAGCCCAGTGGCCATAAAATCAATCAACAAGGTCCTGCCCATATGGTACCACCACAAGGACCCCCAGAGCACATGGGCGCTCCAGGTTCACAAGGTCCTCCAGGACCAATAGTACAACCATCAGGACAGTCGGTTCAAGTAGGACCACCTCAATCGGGCCCGGTTGGACAAATGGGTCCTGCATCGGTACAGATGATATCACAAGGCCCGCCGCAAGGTCCTCCAGGTCAGATGGGCCCACTGCAAGGTCCTGCAGGTCAGATGGGTCCACCGCAAGGTCCTCCAGGTCAGATGGGCCGACCGCAAGGTCCTCCAGGTCAGATGGGCCCACCGCAAGGTCCTCCAGGTCAGATGGGTCCACCACAAGGTCCTCCAGGTCAAATGGGTCCTCCGCAAGGTCCTCCAGGTCAAATGGGTCCACCGCAAGGTCCTCCAAGTCAAATGGGCCCATCTCAAGGTCCTTCTGGACCAATTGGTCCTCCACAAGGTCCACCAAGCCAGATCGGTGTTCCACCATCACATGGTCCCCCAAGTTCAATGGGACAACAAGGGCCAACATCTTTACCACAAGGAGCACCATTACAACAACCAGCCAGTACCAATCTTCCTCCTCATGGAACAGGAAGTATGCAATTACCATCTGGCCCTCCTGGTAGACCAATACAAGGCTCACAAGGTCATGGCTTACCTTCCATTCAAGGGACAGCGCAAATTAGTGCACCCAGTGGACCACCGATGCAGTTTCAACCAACATCTAGTCAGCCTGCATCAGTAAATGGTGTCCATACCAAGGAATCCAAACCTGACACGGCTGAGCTCATTTCTTTTGACTGAGGACATCGAAAACGAATCAGTTTAGAATCTTATTATAATCAGTTCATTTAAAGTGTCGCGGATGAGTTTAAATAGAAGAAAGGGTCGTCACTTAATCAATTGCCCAGGTAACATTACGCCTAACCTGAAAACGATTTTTTCTATCTTTACTCAAAACTCGTCTATTACGTATGTTATACTAAAAAAACTATCACAATCCCTCCGTAAAATATTGAGCGAATTAACACTGGGACTGTAATTGGAATCGCAAGGTTTTGCATATTTATTGGAAAGCACATATGATGTTCTTTCGGTTTTATTATTGTACATTTAAAACCGGAATAAAAAGTGCAATGCCGTGTTAAAAGACACTTTAAAAAGGGATTCGTCGATTAAAATCCTTGTTTAATGCTTAAAATGAGTAAAATGCTTAGCGTAGATAATTACGGAAGGGAAAAGTGTTCCATATTCATGTTTATTTGAATTAATTCATAACAATAATTGCTAATTATATACAAAAATTAATTACATAGTCAAAAAAAGCCTTGCTTTACGGGTGTACCGTTGCACTGTTCTTTTAGCTCATTTATAATTTAAAAAAAAACGCAGCAAGTGGCCTCGTCAGATGTCAATGATAGAAAATACGATTCGACCTAGCGCCCCACTATTAAATCATGATATTAATACAAATACATTAAACCAGTACTAGTTCTTCATCATTCTTCGAATCTTCATTGGTCAACAGAAGTGATCTCGTCTGATATGTTAAATGCGCGACACTTCCTTGTAGATTCTGACGACATAAAAGTGCGAAGTGAAAGAATAAAGAAAAATAATTCAATCACGGATCAGCATAATAACAAAACGAATAAAAGGAATTGCAAACGCAAGTCCCTAGATGCGTCTTTCTTTCTCTTTTTCTTCTCTCTTTGTTTTTATTATGTTCAGAGGATTAGCAAAACATCGTTCTTAGTTGATTTTTAGATGAAAAATCCATTTTCATCTGCATTGTTAGATTCCTATAGTTCGCCATATAATCAATGGTACAGCAATAGTGTTTCATATAAACATTCATGTTTCTGTATATCAGACTGTCTCAACCTGGCCCTTTCGTCGAGGTTTGAGATCCTGAACCTGGGGCGAGGTGAAGGACGTCTCCTCGGAACGTTTCTTAATGGCTAAAGCTAGCTCCCCGTTGCTCGAGGTACCCGAAACTGTACTGTCCTTCCTATCCGAACAGACTATAGACGGCAATCCTGACCCATTAGCCGCCAGAGACGCTTTCCTTAGTCTCATATCCTCCATAGGTATCTCCTCACTACGTGGCCTTGGCATTTTAGGAGAATTATCTCTGGATCTTAAACCGTTTTCACGTGCTCTTCCATTAGGACTACCGTCGGAGCGTCTACCATTGGGTGTTGTGCTCCCTGAAGAAGATCTAACAACCCCATCCTGTCGCAATTGTGCTGCGAAACCAGGGACCTTGTTCACAGTGAACATTGGTCTTGGTTGATCTTTTTTGTGACCTCGACCTGTTGCTCCTAAATTAACAGAATAAAATATACAATTGTTAACTCAATCAGGTGAATCATCAATCATTTAATCATCTTCTACTCACGTTCCGGCCGCATACTCATGAAAGCATAATTTGGAGGTGTAGAACAGTGTGGCATGCTCGTTGGAATATCTAATAACCTGGCAATCTGACTCATCTTTTTCTGTCTAGCCTTTATTCTGCCTTTTGTCAATCTGTAATGTTATTATCAATCAACATGACATGTCTACACTACATAATCTTTATAGAGAATAACGTATACCTCTGTTTGGCAGCCATGCATCGAATATGATCGTCGAAAATGAACTTGGCAGAAAGTAAAGGCACCCTATTGCTAGCGCTACTACTCAGTGGTTTATGAATTGTCAAATGGAGACACCTGGAGTCGTCCTTATCGCCGGCTACTTCAATATCCTGTAGGAATCCTACCAGCTTAGCTACGCCCCAGCCTAGCTTCTTCGTGTCCGGTTCTACCAAGATCAACTGCAACACGTCAATCACCAAGAAGCGACGAATCTTCTGACCATCTTTCCATACCACAGTGCAGGCTATGAGGTCACTGTTATCTAGGACAGAAAGAAGACACCGAGATATTAACTGTCTGAGTTTTCATATACGTAGAGAGTAGCAACGGATCCATTTAGGACGTCGCCAAGGAAGCGAAGACGTAGTGCGCAAGAGAAAGAATAGACAGATACATTTGCCATCGTAAATCCTCGTTGCTCTCCTTTCTTTTGCTCCCCAAATGAATCCAGTAAGACAGCTAGAAAGTAAATAACTTTTACTTAGGTCAAGAACGTTGTTGACCTCGATGCAGGTCGCTGGATTGGTCAAAGGTAACTGGGTCTCCACTTCCATATTAAGCGTTAGGGACAGTCTTCTTATTAGGAAGAAAACCCTTATTGCACGTCGAGCACGTTCCACCTGGTGTATCAATATATATTTACATATATATTTCTCAGTGCTTATTTATATAAAAGAAAATATTGTATTATTATTATACATTTACCTCGCCGCAGGGTAATCTTTTACTGAATTCAATTCCAGTCATCGGTGTACCAGTTGGTGGTAATAGTATGTTACTGTCCATCATTAACCATTCAACATTTAAAGGTCGTTTTTGAATCTCACTGTACTCGTCTTCGAACATGTCCAAAAAAATATCTTCACTCTAATAAAATATTTTATCAATCAATACACAATGCTCAATATCAGATCAAAACTATTACTGCTATCAATCAGTGCTTGGTAACCTTGTAAAAGTTTCTCAGCAAAGCAGTACTTTGTTCTTTTGCTGCTTCGATAGATGCCAAGTGTGTGTCGTGCAAAAGACTTCGTCCCTCTGACATTACCAATCGTGTCAGCAGCTTGATAGTCAGCTCGAGCGTAACCAGACGTACTTTAGCATCTGAGAGAAAGATTCTTATTCAATAACGAAGAGATAAGAATGAAATAATACACTTTGCATTAAAAGATCCATTGCCAAGATGAAAATATATAACTTCAAGAGCAACTTGACTCACTTGTTTGACAACTAAGGGTGATAATATGAATGAGTCTGTCAACTAGAGTCTCGTTGTACCAGTTTTTTGTCGGCACCTGTTGGGACGGCGACAGCACTAGGTCCAGCATTTCCGCATTCACGCTCTAAGGATATAAGATTTAAAATTAATGTTTTTTTAAAATAATTATAGTCCTTTCCACTGTTTACCTTATTGCTTGCGAGCGCATAGAGCAAACACAATCCAAATAATGCTGTATAATCATTTTCATTGCAATACAAAGAATTCAGAATTGTCTGAAGGAAAGGTTTGTTCGTTAAAGATTCCTGAATAGGATCATTCGGTAGTTGCTGAGGTGCCAATGGACTCTCTAGAGCCAACCTCTGTTCCTTCTCTTCATCGGTAACATTTAAATGTTTCATTTCCTCTACAGTTTCGTTAGGAATAGTAATTTCTAACTGATCAGGGTTCGATAAATTTTCAGGTGGAGCATCCAATATGGTAGTATCGAATGAAGTTCCTGGTTCATTCATTCCCCTCTCTCTTTGCTTCTTCGTCAAAGTGTTAACAGGAAGTTCGTCATTCTGCGATTGCCCCTCGCAAGATTCCTTCAGGTCGGCCTGGGACTCACTTAAATTTTCCAATGATTTTTCCAAACTCTCCTTGGGTGGTGCGAATGCAATTGCTTTGTTAGATGAAATCTCAGCATACTCCTCAAGAACTTTACTAGCGCCATCGCGGATAATGTCTAGGTCGGACTTGAGTATAATGGCAGCAAGAGTGCGAACCAAAGGACCATGAGATAAGATTAAAAACACTTGAGACAATAAAAACAGTGCTACCACTACACTGACGTGTTTCTTCTCATCCTGATAAAACGACAATTATTAAATAAAAATCAAATAATCCTCCATACGTATCACTAGGAACGTACCTGATTTTGGCACAAAACGTTTTTCTGTTTCATCAAGGAATAAACGTACAAGGGTACCAGAAGCTTGTGTAACAAGTGTTCGGTTAGAACCTTATTTAAGTCTGGTATATCCAGACAGAGAATGTCATTTAAATAATGTAAATGATCTAAGTGCTCCGCTACCAGATCAGAGAGTCTATTTTGACTCTGATGACTGAAAAAAAGTCATGTTTATTCTAGCCCATGATTTTCTACTTCTCAAATACTTTGACAGACATAAAATCTGAAGAAACTTACTCAGCATCATTACGAACGCATGTATCCAGTTCTATTATGTGATTTCCAATAAACCAAACTAGATTGCTAAAATATGGTGCTGCAGTTCGATCCCTGATGAATCCAAGCATAGATGCATCTTCAACACGGTAAACGTTTAACGTCAAAGTACGCACCGCGATGCGAACCATGCCCTCAGAGTGTTTAAAAAATTTTATCGCTTCGGTGTACAGAGGAAAGTCGTTTGTATGCTGTCAAGAATATTGTTTCATGAAATACCTTTTATTGTATGAGCAATCTTTTGGCTACTGTGTGCAATGTTTATGAAGCAGGTGTGATGAATTTTGGTAAGCACACGCTTGAGTCATGTTATTTTTAGACAAGTAACTGTGTTCTTCGAAAAATACAAAAATATGATGAAATTATTTTGCGAGTGATTAAGAGCATGTGCTATCTAAAGTGAAAATAATAGTTGGGGAGTGTCGTGTGTACCTCGTTTACCTCGTTATAGAAGAAATGAATTGTATGGGCGTTTAACTTTAGACTCAGAGTTTTAAGAAAGCTTATGTAGTACGCCATCACTTCTTCATCACTGAAGTCGAATTTGTGCACTATTATACTGTTTACATGATTGTTACTTAACAGATAATCTGAAAGAATATTCATTATAAATCATCTGTTTGGAATAAAATTTTAAGATTAATAGATCCAATTTCTTTGTGTCAGATAATTAACTTACATAAAGAAGTCTCGTTTCTTATATTTTCAAATAGGATATTGAGCGTCTGAAGTAGTTGAACACATACATAACTGCCACACTTTTGTTTCATTATTCGTAAGAAGAATGACAGCATATTCTTTTCCAGAAAAAAACTATAAATATAAACTATTGTAATACTTTCTCTAATTTATATATTTAGGAATGCTGTATTCACACTTACTCAAATACACTGCTGTCATTCTGGTCTCCCCAAATTAAAATTTCAGCTATCGAACGTAAAGTTTCAACAAGCAGTCCTCTATTATTCTCAGATACAGTGTGATTCTTGGATAGGACATTGTACAGGTATCTAAAAATGCAATATAATTTCTAATATGCCAAATAATCATATACATTAAATACATACTTAAGGTGTTCCAATGAATGAGGATTTTTGGGCTTCCAAAGCCCACCTCCGAACCAGCTTCTACTGCGAAACATCTTTTCCTTGAAGTCTCAGGGAGTGTCTCAAGTTGCATTCATGACTGTATAACACTTCATCACCACTTATAACTCAAACTCACAGCACCTAATAAGTGCACATTGCATTCTATTAATAACTTAAGTCCCTAATCTATCAAATTAACACCAGCCTTTGAATCAGGTCGAATATACTCATATGTAACTGAGGTTAGACTGTTTTTAACCATATAAATTTTTAGCCTGAAACCGTTCCCGTTATAACTTGATATTATTAATGGTATTTATTCTGTAGCACATTCCACGGGCTTTGCATAACGGAGTATCAAGAATATAATAAGAAAACGAACGAAAATTTTATACGACACAGATCAGTATTACTTTTCATCTGCCATGACTTTGTGAACTCTGAACGCGATCGTCTTTGCTGAATACACTATTTCTTGGCATTGATTTTTAATGAAACTAAATGTTTCGGGGTATTTATAATTCAAACAAAATTAATCATTCAATGCTTAGGTATAATCCTACTTTGTCCATCGCCTAATGAAATCAGACACTCTGTGAAACCAGCAGTTATTTTGACAAAAAGATGTCACGAGCTTAGTCACGGGTACCATTGTTGATTTAATAACTGGCAAAAACAGTTCTTTTTCTTTATCCGTTATATTATTGTTAAGGATATAATATTAAGATATTAAGATAATGCGGGTGCTAGAACTCTATAGTGGAATCGGTGGAATGCACTTTGCATTGGAAGGTAATATTTCATTTATCTATTGTTTACCATTAATGCTGATTATCAGTTCCGCGTATATGCGTATCACCATATGTGCGCACATTTATTATCAAGATTAAAAAAATTATTTATACTAAACCTGACCGGATTTCATCATGATTAATAAAAGAAAGCGCGTTGAATGTACTGAAAATCAGAATTGATTAAATACATATACTTGTCAGGTCATGTATTAGAATATAATATGCTCATTGAATACCATATGTGAAACATTATAATGTTTGCTTTACGTAATTTTGTATTTTTTAAATATATTTTTCAGAAAGTGGAGTCAAAGCTCAGGTTGTTGCTTCTGTTGATATAAATACAGTTGCCAATGAAGTCTATAAGTACAACTTTCCTCAAACTTTAAATATAAGCAGAAACATACAATCCTTTACAGTGGAGGAAATCGGAAGCATGAATATAGATACTATACTTATGAGTCCACCTTGTCAACCATTTACAAGAGTCGGTTTAAAAAAGGATATATTGGATAAGAGAACTGATTGTCTGTTGCATGTACTGGAATTCATACCCCATATACAGACTCTGAAATATGTTCTGTTAGAAAATGTGAAGGGCTTCGAGAATTCCCAAGCAAGAAATGAGCTTGTGGATTGTATGAGGAAATCCAACTTCGATTATAAGGAACTGATACTGAGTCCCTGCCAATTTGGAATACCTAACACGCGACATCGTTATTATATGATTGCTAAAAAGAAGGAACTTTGTTTGTGCTTTAAGGATCCAGATTTAATTCATTCCTTACCGACAGAAATTTTGCAGATTTTGTCTGAGAACTGTCATACTCAAGTAGCCAATTTACAACTTGCAGTGAATTGTAAAAATGGAAAAGAGCATTCTAAATTAAGTAATATAATAGAGAGAGATGCCGATGAGAAGTATTTAATATCCAGAAAATTGCTAGCTAAACATGCCAGAATATTTGATATAAGAACACCTGAATCTGAAGGTACCTGTTGTTTCACAAAAGCGTACAGCCATTATGTAGAAGGAACAGGTTCCATCTTTTGCCCTTTTAATGATAATCACCTTAGAAAAGTTTATGAAGAATCTAAAAACTATAAAAAAGATTGTCCAGATGGATTAGATAGCTTATGCAATTTACGTTTACGGTACTTTACACCTAAAGAAGTCTCTAGACTAATGTGCTTTCCTGAAACTTTTTTGTTCCCAGATAATATTACTGATAAACAGAGATACCGACTTTTAGGTAATTCAATAAACGTTTACGTTGTTAGTCAGCTGTTACTACTTTTGGTTCATGAAGCTATATGATTTATACTTATTCTTATATTATTTTTATTATGCTGAAAATAAAATTATTTTATTACAATTTATTCTTTCATTATTCAGTCCATAATATATCTTTGTATACAATATAATAGAAATTTCATTTAAAGTAATATACAAGTATTTCCTTGTTTTTAAAAAAATGAAGTATTCACGCATCAGCATCAGTCGTCTGCCCCTAACCTGAAAATATGACTTTCATACTGAAAGGATTGCTGAATTGTAAAATGAGAGCAAATGCGGTCTAATGAATGGTATACGTAAATAAAAATGTGTTATATAGCGCAGTAGATAGACTGGAATTGTCTATAGTATTTGTAGAATTTTCATATTAGAGAAATAAAAAATTTAAACAAATTGACATAATTAAGAAGGTTAGAACTACAAGCAAACATTTTGTAACAACAAAAGTAAGTCTACTTATTCCATTAATTTTATTTCATATGTATCTTTTTAAATATTCATAATAATCTCATGTACTCATATTGTTAGTTATAATTTGGAAAAGCTACAAAAATGGATGAAAAGAAACAATTTGATAAGTTCCTTGGTGGGGAAGAAGAATTACCCAGGGATGTTCCCATGCTACGCCTGGTAGCATCACGAGCAAGTGAAATTGCTGCAATGAATTATTCCATAGGTAAATTTAACTTTCATCATATGCTCATCAATGTTTTAAACGTTAATAAGAGTTATCTTAATATGTATCTATGCAGAAAATCCTCAGCAAACAAAATTAATATTCCAAAAGTTGCCTGTCCACATGCGAAGAAGGATCATGTCTCACAATGCAAAGCGTATGCCACGAAGATTGCGCGAAGCGCATACTAGACAAATGGCTAAGTCTGGACTACCACCAAAAAATAAAAGGCCATCACGAAAATATCGTAGACGTCCACGTAATCTGTTACTGGAGTATAATCGTAGACAGCGCGATAAAGTCTGGTTGGAAACTCACATCTGGCATGCTAAACGATTTCATATGACTGAAAAATGGGGATACAAAATACCAAATTTTCCAAATGACAGATGCTTCAGAGCAAATTACAGAGCGATAGCGAAGCATTGCCTGATACAAGACATTTCATATTACAGTTGCATAGAAATTACTGGTCCTTTAAGTTTCTTAATCGATACATTAAAAAGGCATTGTAACACGAATGAATTAACATTTGGTGCTAAGGTGTACTTGAGTGGCACCAGAGAAGGAAATTTAATGTTTTACAAGGAAGATGGTTACCCCAAGTTTCCAATTGGAAATGTAAACTTTCTATGGAAACCACCAGATGATTCCCTTTTGAAAACTATTTGGATTTGGGTCCATCCCTGTTTTTACACAGATTTCATTAGCGCAGTTATAGCTAGTTTCAAGTTTGAATTAAATTCTTTACAAACGGATAACATGGTCGATATTTCAGAAACTGTAGTAGAAAGTGAAAGAAACGATTCGAAAATTATTGCAAAGAAGAAAGCCGCTGTCGAAAATAATTGTTTTTCTAAACATGTGGAATATCATAACGGCACAAATTGCACAATGATTTTATTAAATCATCGCTTAAATAGGTTTCGGCTCTGTGGTCCATTGGCACTTGACATAATAACAAATGCCCTAAGATTACCAAATTTAGAATTAATCAAGGAATTGCCTGAACAAGAACAAAGTCAAGTAAAAACGAATGTTGAAGAAGAAACCACAATGGAAGTTGTGGAAATTTCAACGGAAGTAGATACCGAATCAAAAGAATCGAGTGGTACTACTGCAAAAAAATCATGGTTCAATGAGTACCACAGAAAAAAAGAAAATATAGAATATTTTAAAGTACAACAGGAGCTTTTTGATGTACTGAAAGATTTAAAATCACCAAATCAATTGCCACCAAATATTGTTATAGCATTAACAGTCTTGGACCCAAGATTTTTTATGCCACAAACGAGAACAAGGTCAGAAAGAAATAATAAGGTTTCTGATAGAATACCGATGCCACCAACATTGGCAAATCGCAGTCCTATATGGGAATCTGATGTCAGAAAATTTGTCGAAACAAATCTTAAATCAACAACGCAGATAAATAAATTAAGAAGCAAAAATTTAGTTCCTGGAGTGAGTAACGATGATAATTATAACGAAAACATCATATCTAAAATTCCAATATTATTGCTTCAAAGACCAGGATGTTTTACAGATAAAAAGTGTCTAGGTAAGTCGTCATTCAAGAATAGAATAATATTTAACACATTGCAAACTAATTGCAAAGAATTCCTTTCATAACGATGAAAAATTAACTTCTATATGATAATAAATTCGGTAATTGACGTTTCATAATGTATAATGGAAATAGTTCATTGATGAACATAAATATTCTTACAGGTTTTACATCTGCAATTGATATTATCATACCAGCTGGATGGGCCATGCCATTTTGGCTTTCTTTTATATTACGCTGTGCTCGACCAGGTGGATTAAAGGAATCAAAGTCAATTATCCTTGAAAATCTCGATCTAAATTCACCTAACTTCAACAGTCCTGATACTTCAGCTTATGTAAGAGAAGCACTTAATACAAAGTTAGAAATGATGGAACGGTACTTCAGATATCCACCAAACAGAAGAGTGAATTTTGTGAAGCTTGGTATCAGCAGTCCTTTTTACTGCGAATGGAAAATTCTTATGAGAGAGTGGACAGACATGGACGACTTTTATGTTTTAAGGAACAAGAATCTTTTGTCACACTTAGAAACAAGTATATCAAACCGCAAGAGCATGTTGGGTAAAAATAAAAATAGAAAGGGTCGCAAATTCAATGTTCAAAGTACAATTACTCCTTTGGACAAAACTTTATTCCCTGATGATAATTGTCTAATTCCTGTCAAAATATCCATAGAAAAACGTGGATGTCCAAAAAACTTTTCTGTAATCTGTCTGCCTAGTACAGATGATTTGAAGAATTATGAAAACAATAATAATTGGTCTGGGCCCGTACAAAGTATTCAAAAGGATCCTAACGAGAATAAACGAAAATTATTGAGACGTGGACACTTGGCAATTTTAAAACGACTCAGAAGACAAAGAGTTCGTCGCAAAAGGAAATTAGAAAATCGGCAAAATATTTTGCAAGAGAAAGGATCCGACATTAATCTTGTAGAAATAATGAAGCGTGTGAGAAGGAAAACTATAAAGCCAAATCGTGGTATCATCGAAAAACAAGCCCAAGTAATGTCCAGCCTTTACTTGCCAAAGTGCACAAAAGTGAAAAACTCCTGTGACAGAGAAGTAATGGGTTACGTTGTTCAGGGTGATTTTTCATTCACGGAATCGAAAGGTATCGGTTTGGGGTATGTTGTTTTGCCGTCGTTGTTTTCTTTAACGGATAAAGGCAACAATATTGTTCTCGTTAGAAATACAACAACTAGACAATACAGAATTGCCAGGCTTGAAATACTAATTACATAAGAAAACCAAAATCCATATAATAGATATACTGTTATATCATATATATATTTTGTGAAAATATGACGTTTGTATTAAACAATTAAAATTCTTTATCTTTATCATTACACACCCTGACATTCATTCTCCATTGCTATCGAAGAAGTTTACAAAATACAAATGCATAAGCATAACTTGTAATAACAACTTTATTGTTAAGAGACATTATAACTTCTACAAAAGTTTATGGAATCTTTATCAGGGAGAAAATGCAAAAATTTCCGCTCACTCGCTCACATTCGTTTAGCATCTAATAACTGTCGCAATATTCTTGCTTGTCTAATAATCAGAAACTTAGCCTACAGTTTACTTTATACAATACAATTGAAATAAGCCAAGTGTAAAATTCAAAATTAAATACAACCGTACAATTCAGAGAAGTTGCCAATTGCCAACAGCTAACTTAAATCAATTAAAGTTAGCTGAAAACACTTCTACTCTCGCTAAGTCGTTGGTCTTCGTTTTTACTCACCTACTTCATTAATAATTACGTCAGCTGACATGATCAATCTTTTAATTATAATACAGTTCATTTATCTTGCTTCAATTATATTAGTAGCAAGAGCTACAGCATTACACATATGTTTTCCCACCATATCCTTGATCTTGATACGAGAGTGCAACATGACCTGAATTAAAGATCATACTTGCGGCTTTTACGAGAAACAGTGTCAAAGAAAAATTACAATAATTTAAAGAAAAAAGAATTCTATCCTTAATAATGGTCAAACAATTTAAAAATATCGTTCAATTATTTATTTTTAGTATTTCATTCAAATTTTCATTTTAACAATGTCAAACGATACCAACCTACTGTTTCAATGTATTATTCCAATTATACTGTAAAGAAAATAAACGTGAAAACCGTAAAAATGATACACGTGTCAAAGCTGAAAGTCTAGCGTGACAAAATCATTAATAACTCTATACGATGACTACGAAGGTTACACAACATATACATATGTAAATACAGTTGCCTATCGTTACAAATAATCAGGGTTTTTTCTCGGCGTAACGTAGCACCAACAATAACTGCACGATAAATATCATAGTTACGAACGTATTAAATAAATGAAAACACACATTAAACATTCATTGTATTTACTTTGATGTCAAGATGCACCTGTGGTTCTAAACAAAAAAGAAAAAAACTCAATCAACGTTCAACAAGTATTGTTTCATCTCACGTGAATCATTAAAGCCCATCTTCTTCAACGCGGTTCAATGCATAAACTTCGAAGGATATCGGCGTAAATAAATGCTATTCGATTGCTTGTCTTTTTTTTTGTATAATAACACTACTAGACGGAAGTCCATTCTTGTCCGTTTCCGCTGTACAAGTCTAGGACAAAATTTGGGAACGATTTCAAATTCGCACGCACAACTTTTGTACTTGTACTAAGTTTCACAATGTCTCTTCTCGCTTGAACTTCGTACTACGCAACAACGGTTAAACGCAACTATAAGCTCTTTTTGAGATTTTGCACAGATCGCTTCCCACAATTCTTTCGGTACTTGAATCACAATAAACTCGCTCCATAAGGCAAAAGTTGCATATTTTTTTTTCTTTTTCTGGACGTAACAAGAGCAAGAGTTACAGTTATTTAGTTCTTTCTAGTTTAACTGCCTCACCCTAAACAATTACTATAAGTAGTAAGACTCTCTCGGTCTTTTATTGCAAAGCGAGGATAAGGAAGAAGGTAAGCATACAATATTTTTGGCAGTCTTGTAAACTATTACAAAGTTTTAATTTATATGTCTTGCGTATTTCTTTTAGCCATTCGATTATTAACTGCGGTCTTTGAAACTACTTTGACTTTTATTATTAAAGTACACAATGTGATTAGAACGTCTATTTGTTAATGCCCAGCAAATACATAAGTCTGGTTCAGTACTAAACCGTTATTGGTTGGCTGGTAGATACAGTGGGTCAGTTAGTGCCCATTACTAGTCTGTTCTTATGTATTTGTTGGGAGTTTTATCGGATAGCTCTCACAAACAATCATCATGGAAGTTCAGAAAATAGATTGAAGAAACAAACATATAGAAAGCCGTGTTAAAGCTGCGGCCAAAAAAAACAGCATGCCCACTTTTTACCCTGAAGTTCTAGTTTTGTTTTAGTGCATCTGGATAATGAAAGATTTGCAAAAGCATCTGTAATTCCATAATGTACGCCTGTACAAACATTTGTGCAGACTATATCGCAAAAACAAAACATTTCTTTTCGAAAGTTCACATAGTTGATAAATACTGCCAAATCAAATTTGTATTGTATGATTTACATCAAGTGACATTTCCGTTGTTGTTAGTATTATTAGTTCTACTATTATTTCAAGTAGGCGATACGCAATGAGAACACAACGGGACCCTAAACGGAAGAGTGAGAATAAATAGTATTAAGGAAAATAAATATTTATAAAACTCCTCATTAGATATTACAAACTCAAATGATGGATCTCGTTTTGCTCCTTCCATTGGTAATTGTTGCTCGCTGATTTTTCTCTCTTTTTCAGTTCCAAGAAAGACTCGAATTTTAAACATACCTGAAATTCTGTCTGTCACGTATTAATTATGCTTCAAGGTATTATTCTTTCATTTTCGAGCTTATCGTCGCTGTTATTGATTATACTATCACTAGTACTAATACTACGGCCTGAACTATATGCATGAAACATGAAAAAAGTTTTGCATAACAATGCACATGCTCATCAATTACATAGTCGGTCTACGTTGGAAAATGTGAATTCTTAATAATTTCAACATAAAAGAGTTCTCCAGATTTCATATTTTACTCGTAGATCGATTATACATCTTTGTGACGATAACGAATAGCGATTTATAGTTTTTGATTCCTATACGGACTAAATTCAATTGTTTAACTGAAAACTTCAGTGTCGAATGTTTACCCATTTCATTGTTAACCGTTGATACAATTGTATACTCTTTTCTCTTTCTTTCTTTATCATTACAGATACATCTGATTCCAAAAATATTACTCGACAATCTCGCATATTTAGATATGGGTTATCACCACCACACGGTACGATGCTAACTCTGCGTAGGAAATCTTACCGATTCCTTCAATGTATAATAGATGATTGCTATATATAATAATGAATCAATTAACAGAATTAGCGTCCATCATTTGTCAATGTTAAAAAATTAAATTGGCATCTCATCTCTACGTAGGCAATTGTTAGATCATTTATTTATATTACAGTATATCACGGGATTAGCACAGGCGTGTATCATGATTGTGTATGAAAGAGAGAGATATGGATAGACAGAGAGAAAGAGAGAGATGAGTTTAACTTGAAAAGCGTATTTGAATCTCGTTCAAGAGTAGGGTGGAAATAAAATTATCACGTTCTAGAAAGCCATTATTTTTACTTCTTGTTCTCTAGTCTACTCCCCGTAATGTATCAATGGAATTTCTACCTACTATCATTTGTCACTCCGTTATACGAGTTACTAAAATTAAGTAGTAATAGGTAATTCTTTTTGTTTGGAATAAATTATTGGATAAATTCATTCAATAATTATTAATTGGATAGTTAGAGCGACGATTTAAATACCGATACAATTAATTTCATCTATTGTGGCTTCAGTACTTCTTCGATGAATTTCTTCATGTCGCGCATTTCCTGCGAAAGTAATCGTGCTGTTAGCAATTAACGAAGAGCTGTATTATCGAGCTTACGTAATTCTGGTTAACTTATTTCAGGGCTAACAGTCATTGCGCTTGTGATAACTGTACGCGATTATGTGTGACTGATTCCTCATGCTTATCGTATTTTATATATGTACTAATACATTTTTTCTATTTACGATCACGCAGCCACGGTTATTATCCGCCATTATTATAAATTTTAATTTCACTTCAGTACAAGATGCCTACCGATATGCTGATTATTGAATATATTTACTCACTTGATTAAAAAGAACTATACAATTATTAATTATTCTTACCTCGTCGCAGGACGTATGCATCATTCCTCGATACGTCTTAAACTCCGTTTGGGTCATGAACTGTTTTAAGAGAGACGCAGTCATTTGTCCCCATTTGTATGGGACAATTGGATCACAATCACCATGGCATTGCAATAAAGGTACATTTTTGTTGCCTACTGCAATCTGTAAAATAAAAAAAGGTTTTATAGTTATACGATGAGAACGATTTAGTAAATTTCGTAATTTGGTCATTGAATATTATTCATGATGCTTACTGCAGGAAACTTCTGATGCAATGGAAGCCAGGCTGAGAGTGCTATGACACCAGCCAGTGGTTCAGGAAATGTTAAAGCACTATACATAGCGAGTGCACCTCCTTGACTGAAACCACCTATAACAATTCGCTTTGTTGGGATTCCTGCTGCAACTTCCTGTGCGATTAACGAATGGACAGTATCTGCAGCTCTACGTATTCCTTCCTCATCTTCAGGACCACTTGGATCCAAGGATCGTAGATCGAACCTATGTTTTTACAAAAGATTATTTGTATGAATTAATTGATACTGAAGACAGCATTAAGTATTAAATATATTTAAAAATATTATAATTTAAGATATTTTTTATTTATAAAATAATAATGCCAGGCTTGTAACAATTTCATATTTTGATTTTCACTACACTCATAATGCATGTGCAGTGTAATCCACAATAATCAGAATTAGAAATTAGGTTATAAATAGCAATTGTATAAGCAAAAAATGCTTTACTATAATGTTATTATACTTATCAGTTTGCGAAATCTTGTTTTTATTTTTTAAAAACTTACCAAGATGGCATTCTAAATCCTGCATTCAATGTCACCGGCATGGTAGGACTGCAATAAATTTATGGAATAATACAAACTATTATAGGAAGCAAATATTTTAATAATCTAATTACATACGCTGTTGGACAAATGACTTTAATGTGAGGAGCCCGTACGGAACCCATGGAGCTAGCCCAGCCATGTCTAAAAAAATTGTTAGAGTAAATAAAAGATTTTTATCATTAATATATCACATAAAACACATACCCTGTATCACCTAGCCCATGGAAAAAGATAAGCTGAAATTAAAGGATTCAACTATATGATTATGTTTGAAATAAACATAAAACAAATCATATAGAAATAAAAAGTTATTACACTTCTATTACACAATGTAAACTAAGTGAATATATATCAAGATTGTTATCAAGATTTAATTGACACTATCGCGTTATCTGATTTACATGTGATAAAATTCAGATATATGTATTTGATCATTAATGATAGAAACACACATCCCACTGTTTCAATAAATAAAAAATTGGGTCATGCAAAATGTCACATACTGCTCAAAGTCTAAAGGTACACCAAGTACGTAAGAATATCAGAATTACATAAGTAATAATCGAGTTATACTCGAATCACGTTTGACAGTTGCGGCATTAAAAATATAACCAAAAACCATAATTTTCTTTAACTCACCGTAGCTGTGTGTTTGGCCGTAGCAGCGATAACTACTGGACTCGTCATTTTCCGCCGTTTTTTTGCACGCGCTATGGACAATCGTATACAATTTATAAAGGAAGCACGACGTGATATTTTAGAGTCTGAGTTATCGAAACGATATGAAAATCTTTCTAGTCTCTAGAAACTCCTCGACATCCTCTGAACACACAAATGCAATAGTAGGGCCATGCGCGAGGTTTCTGAGTTTATTGCTTTGATCAGCTTTGAACGTGCGCAAACGACGACATACGTATGCTTTTCCTATTATTTTAATATTAAATATTTCTATAGACATTTTTATAAATTTTAATAGTGACGAACCTTGTGAGTTACCCATCGACGACTTACTTCAATGAGATCTTTTTTGGACATGCCGACGGCTTATATGAAATCAAAAACGATCAAAAACGTCAGAGCGTTTTGAAATTTTACGGCGCACATACGAACTCTCCTGGACACGATTGGAACTGAGTCAGTGGCCACGCGACCAAACCTACTGACTGGAAAATTTCGTTCGTTCAAAAATGAAAGGAGGGCTTATTAATTGACTGTAGTAAAAATAAAGAAGGAGAAATAAGTGCCGTCAAAAACAAAAGAATTCATTTAAACGTTAACGTATATTATTTGGCACTTTTGAAAAGTTACTTTCAAGCGGTTAGAGATTCTAAATTTATACTTTTCGGAACAACCCATCTAAATTCAGTTTCTTTAATTTAATTCATTTCAATTAAATTATTTCTTTGCGGTTATCCAAATTTTATCTGTGAAATCGTACACAATATGTACAGAAACGATCGTTCCTCAGAAAGCTGCATGTCTGGATGTAACTGCAATGCTTCTGTTGAAATGTGTGCAGGAAGTGGAGGATGTTGTCAATTTGATTTACCCCCAGGACCATCCGCACAAAAGAAAGAAAGACAAAGACCACAGAATTCGGGTTGCGAACCTCCTAGATGTGCTAGAATGACTCCATCTTCGGAATCGAAAGAGAAATGGGAATGTTAGAGACTGGGACGATAATTATTACTAAAAATTCTGAAATTCACAATGACTTCTTCCATTTATTTATTGTTGTAGATCCTAATTACGAGTTTAGCGACTATGGACAACGTAAGTCGAATTAACGAATAAAACAATTCTTCGAACGGTAATGAAAATGTCGTATAAAAATATTTCTTTCTAGATGGAATGAAACACTATATAGGCTATGACGATAGGTCTGCATTACAGTCACAACAACCAGCAGATTATGAAGTAAAAAACCGTTTTAATGATTACAGAGCACATAATGGTATTTCAAGTGCTGAACTATATTTTAATTGAAAAAAGAAAGCGTACAAGTTAAAATGATTGATTTATTGTTAACAGCAAATATGAAGATACAACCAAATCATCCACTTCATCGACCTATCATTCAGCAGAGAAACTGCGAAGTCAGAGTTGCTGGTGGTTGCGATTGGCCAAGGACGTTTAATCAAGATAGTTGTCCCGATTATCATTATGATAACGTTCCAGCTGACGAACCGAGTAAAATTATAAATAGATTTCTATTTATAATCTGTCAATTAATATTTGAAAAGTTTAATTTCTCACTCAGAATCGTTTATGCAATCGAGACTATATGAAGACTGGGAAGAGAATCCTGAGGTCGAATGGAATAGAGAAGCTTCTTGTAGTCATCAGAGACGCGTACATTTTTAACATACTGAATACCCGTATATATTCATAATGTATGAACAATCAGTTTCGACCAACGAAACTATAATAAAGATATTATTTTTTAGTAAATCTATACTCGATTATCCTTCTTAGTAAACTTATAGTCTGTTATGCTTACTGCAAAATATATTATATACGCTCTAGGGGGAATCCCCTTCATTATGAAACGGTGGGAAGAAAATATTTTAAAAACCGTGTTTTATTTGTTCTTTTGAGGCGTGATTGTAGCAACGAATTTGTCGGATGCAGATCAAATTACTTATAACTTTAACCAACAGTATCGCTTCTTCAGTTAAAAACAAATATGTAAAATCCTTTGAGTGCCAAGATCCAAGATGACGTACGCATATTGTAGAAAAACGAAAATTCCAGAGGTTTTATTAATTTCCAGGGAAGCAAAAATGGAGTGTAAATAATGTTCTTTCATGTCAATGTCAGATCGGCCTTGAGTATGAAAACCAACCACACATGAATTTCCTTAACTTATGCGAAGCAATAAATCATTTGGACGAACAGCAACGTAGACATCATTTAATTGAGATCAGTAAATAATTATTATTTAATTTTATAACATACGACATCAATGAAAATACGTAAATGATAATTTCCCCATAGTGAATGCATTTGACGATGAAGGTACAAAGTGGACAGGCAGTCTCAAAACTATATTTGGTAACGAAACATTATTTCCTTTAATTGACAAAGTACATAATATCCTATTACGTCATACCGATAATACGAATATTAAATATTAATTATTTGCAGCTTTTACTTATACATGATTACTTACAGAATTACCTGACGGTACCATTAAGAGGAGCATCGCCCTTATCGATTTCGATAAATCGGGGAATAAATATCTTAAACAACTCAGCGCACAAAATGATGAATGCGGAAATGGAGTATTTAAATTCTATAGAATTTTGAAAATCGATTGTACCGGGAAAGCAATGATCCATGAAAATAACTTATCGCCTGACAATTGTATGATTAACATTAATTTAGATCAAAGATGCCCCGGTAAGTAATTATGTTTCTTTCCCGTTTGAAATTTGAACAATGGTCTTATTTTTACAATAATGATTCTTTGCAGATATTTTGAGTTCCACTACTACATCCGAACTGAGTAAGGTTAATCTGTATATTAATATTATTTAGTAAACCACCTTCTTTATAACCTATAAAATAGAACGACCAGATGGCTGCACGGAATTGTCAGTCCTCGTGGCAATAAGAAACGAAGCGGATGACGACACAGCATTTAGCAAAATAACAACTTTATTGGATTTTTGCGGTAACGAAATTGGTTCCCAAAAAAAGACATTTATGCGTGATAATTGTGGAAACACGTTTAAACATCAAGAAAATCAAAATTATATTTAAATTCAATTAATGTATCAAATATAACCGATTATGAATAAACAGTTTCTTTTTTTTTGAATTTGAAAAAATTTACCTAATTTATCATAAAGATTTTTGCTCGAAGTTCTATTCACTTCTATCGCAAAGATCATCAGTCAACTGTCGACGAACTTGACACATTTTATTTTGACAGTGCGTGAAATTTGGAGTCTAAATTATTTTTGGAAAATTCTTTAAAAAATTTTGCTTCGGCTTTGAAATTCATAATATTTAAAAAGTCATTACAAAAATTAAGATGTGTCAATGATGACAATAGTTCATCAATCATCAGTAATTCAAAATGTTTAAATCTTATCCCGATGTCATTGCATTGTGAGTTTATGTAGACGTGTCCTTAAGAAAAATCATGGTAATTTTACAAATCACAATATTTTTAGTCTAATCATATTATTTTTTCATTCAGACGTGACCAAGAGAACGATTATGATATAAACTGGGAAGAAATAGCAAGGTGGGCAATTGAACATGGCGATGCCAATGACAGTCCGGATGATCGTTGTGGGGCTGCGAATGCCCAACTTGATTCGCCAGGTATCGATTGGTGCAAGGTAAATGCAGTGGATATAAAAAACTTGTAAAAAAAAGAAGCTCCAGTACACGAGAGTAAAATAGTCAATATATAATTAAATTTCCGTACGCGTTTTCAGGTTGCGGATTCATTCATGCGAGAAGAAGTCGATGAAATGGATACAAATGCTTGTGACCCCAGTTTATTGAATTCAACGATCAACGAAAATCGATCAGTACATCTGCCAGAGGAAAAAGAATATTGCCGGTATTTACTTAAAATCATATAATTAACAGTTAAAGTGTAAACGGTAAAGTTAAACGGTGTAAACTTTTTTTTTAGGAACAATTGGCAAAGAATAGTAGCCGATGTCGAAGAGAACTTACCTGAAAAATATTGGGATCATTCGCGAAGGGAAAGGAAATATAATTATTCGCAATATATGCGAAGAAAACGACCTGACCTGATGAATCGAGCATGCGAGAGTAAATTGAATTATTTGAAAATAATATATTTTCGAAAAATTCATTGGGATCAAATTTTCTCATTGTGATAACTTTTTTTTAGGAAATCGTTCACATCGTACACGTGGATCATCTTTGTTTGATGGTCGGTAATTTAAATTAATGCTGTCTTGATGTTTTGATAAATTTTTTATTTTGTCTTTCCTCGTAGATTCAAGTGAAATACGACCACCGGATATGTCATCACGTAATTACTTGTGATAATAAATGATAATAATAAACAATTTTTATGTAATTATATTATAAAGGTACTAAACGTTCCTATATTGCTTTTAGGTGATTTTTCGTGTCTGAATGCATCATTCATGCAGGATACCACTTCACAGCCAAAATCTGATATCCTGGATTATTGTGAGTCAATAAAAAAGTTTTTTTTTTCCATAAGTTCATGGATAGTCAAAGGATTTTTAGATTTATTATCTTTCATTTTCAGTGGAAGCTAATTATTCTAACGTTAGACCTCAGAGTATTATGGAAGGCTATCATTTTCCAGGGCGAGCATATGATACAAGAGTTAGACAGTGTGCGTGAATTTTGAATTTTTGAAATTAACTTTACATTTAACAAAAAAAAAGTATACAATTGCAATGAAAAATTGTTTTTCCATTTTCTAATTATAGGTGATGCTAAAGTTTATATGAGCACCCCAAAAAAACATAGATCAACTCTCACAGAATCGTTTGGTAATACTGTTAATTGTTATTAACGAAGTAGTAAGACAGTAAATAAAAAATTAGTAGGAACCGTTTCATACTTAACGTTTCTTATCTTTGCAGAAATGGTTGATGGTTCGAAAATGTTTAACATTACTTTGGAGGAAGTCTTGGAAATAGGACGACAGTTAAAACATATAACAGAGGTTCGCGATTGTAATGGCTGCGAGATAATTCATATTGAGAGAGATATTAATACGGATATGAGAGGAGTTACACACAGAAAAGAAAAAGTTCGAAGATATCTTGATTCCGATTGATAAAAACAAATATGATGAAAATGTATGAAAAAATAACGTTTTAATAAATTTTTTTTAAGTACAATTATTCTATTACATTATTTAATTAGTTAATTTAAAATAGTCCGTCGCTTATCCCCTTATTTGAGAAAATGCAAATTTGATGGCAGTTTAAAAAAATTGAACTACGATTTCCAAACACACAAATTACTCGATGGAAACAAAACATACTTTCGATTAATATGAAATGTAACGATCTAAATTTCATGATGAACAAAATTTTAAAATAACGGTCAAATATTCAAAATTATATAAATTCGTATCATGTGGAATCATATATAAAATTATGTATCTCTTAGAAACATCTAGTGAACTATAATGGACGAAACAGGCTTAGGCTAACAGTAAACATTAAAAATATGCAGAAATGAAGAAGACATGAAGCATTTGAAACGTCATTAAAAACATGTACACAGAATGAACAGCGATGAGAACTGGACAGGATTATAAGGAATAGAAGGTAGAAGAAAATAACGATAGTTTTAAAAGTTTATCATCAAACCCACTGAATCCTGATAAAACGCATCCTCTGCTGCATTACATATCTTATACCATTATTCTAATACAATTTTCCAAAGAAGTATTGTATATAAAATTAGAACTATATGGCGGTAAACTTTAGGTCGACTTGACAAAAGCTGTGCATATATTAACGAAATAAAGTTTATTCGAGTGGAAAAGATTTGAATTTGAGCAAGTAAAAGAAAAGTCCTATCAAACAATTCAAACATGGAGGACTATGGTAAGTTTCATTGAATTACTTGAGACTATGATAATATATTCTATCGATATTATATAACGATCAAATTTGATTACAAATAAATTACATATCAATAATCAATGTATAATCTAACACAGTCATGGATATGAAAACGGGTCACATGAACTCTGAAGGGAAAGTTATAATTCATCCAACTAAGAAAAAGTTGTTCAAACCGAAGTCAAAGCCCAAAATACAGTTCTCCGAGAAAGGTAGAAGCCCGAATGAAGGTTAATTCCGAAAAATAACTTACAATTGATTTTTATTGTATGCAGAACTAGCCCCGGGTGTAACGCAACGTACGACAAAAATAGAAGAGACAGAGACTTGCAGTGGAAGAAAGAAAATCATTCACTCGTCCTACGTTATTAACGAAAACACAGGAACATTCATCAGCGTTCAGAGAATAGATATTTCTCCTGGTTGTCGTAATATGAATAAAAGGAACTTCTAAAAGTGTGTACCAAACAGATCAAACGAAAATGATCTATAAAGAAACATTGAAAAAGTGATGGTAGAATTTTCTTTAATTTTAATTTCCCGCTTTGAGCAGCCGTGCAACGAGCATGTAAAATATTTACCGACGGTCAAGAATTTTCAATGCACTTCGCATTCTACCTATGCTACGCATAGTCGATGCTCGGTCGAGGTACGTCAGCGACTCATAGCGGTAACCTCTGTGAACTCCATGCCAAGCAATGGAGGCTCATTTTCAATAAAATTCCGTGGTTGTACGTAATGTGTTTTTGAGCGTGTGAAAAGTGGAGTTTTTCGTGTGATAGTGAGACTTTCCTCGACTGTGAACGCCAGTGAACACATTGTCATAGGTAAGTCAACGAGGAATAACGCACGTAGTCTTAAGGGATACAAAATATGTGAAGGTGCCTGTAAAAAATATAAATATAACCTATGTATATATGTTGCACGGAATAGAAGAATGTCTCGCGCGCTAGGACACATCTAAACCTAGAGTAGCATAACATACAGATATACATAAAAAAAACAGCATCAGCCTATAGCAAGGCGTCGCGTGACGTAGCCTTGTAAATTCGACACGTCAAGCCAAACCGAGGTCGTAATATCGAGGAATCGAACTGTTTCAAAGCCGCCATATTGGCACGATCCGCTCGACCGCCGCTCTGCGAAACTCCCGTATTTGGAACTGGTGAAATACAGTGTACAAGAAGCGATTCTGAAATCCGAGAATTCCTCTGCGTACAATATTCGCAATGCTAAGTAAGATTTCTGCCACAATGATCCACAAAGTAAACGCGAAATTCCTAAGTGTATCCTTGTGTAGATTCTCAAGCTGTATGGCGATGGTTTTCATTTTTATAATGGGCATAGCCTTTCTCGTAAGCTTCAGTTCTGTCACTTAAAATTGCAGGCAGTCGGCGTCCGTACCACTACGTAGGACACGATATAACGGTGCGAAGTTAACGGTGGCCAGAAAGCTGATTAAAAATACATTTTTACGTCATTCTAGGAGAGCTTGGAACGGGTTTCATTTGTAACCACTGCATTATCCTAGTGCTCGACTCTTATAAAGACTCGAACCTGCCGTTGTATAAAGACTTCAGTCCAGGAAGGAATGGAGCAGCGAATCGTAGTAATGGCGGCCAAATAGTCAGGGAGCCAACATAACCAGGGAATACAATCGAGTAGCATGGCTACGCAAAGAGAAAGAAGTCATATATGAGATCATGCGAAGAGAGAAAGAGTGAGGTAGAGAAATAAAAAATAGTTTGCACCGTACAACTGATAATATAAAGCACAGTAATCCACTAGGAAGCAACAGTATATACAGCAGCACTATAGATGATCATCCATTATGTTCCAAGGCTATAGATTACCGTTTACCAATCATTGACGAGAATGGTGGCAGTGATGATTTTCTAAATTTACTATAAAAGCATAATGACTTGTGCAACAATACACTTGGCTCATATATATAAACCGTATATATAACTTACATACAACCGTCGGTCGTATAAACGGCAGGTTGCGCGACCTTTATCTAATCTGACAATCGCGTATCGTTAAAAGGCCACGTCTGTTCGATAGGCAACAGCTTGTGGTAGTGACTCGATGATTTTGTCAGTGGGAAGTGGGTCGAGCGAAATAGGTCAATAGGTACACAACGGGACGCGTCTGGGACGTGTAGTAAAGCGTCGAAGTACATAGAGTCGAGTATTGCGTTTATGTATACATAAAGTCCCTTTGCATATGCACGTAAACGTAAAGCGACTATGAAGTCGTATATTGAAGATAAACCGTACGGGAAGTTTGTATGCATAATATATTCACTTTATCAGCGCATATAATACGATGAAAATTAAACATAGTTCAGCATAGAGGTTATGTATCCTACGAAGTGAACTTGAATCTCCCGCCGTTTTCTCTCGAGGCCTTAAACCGTCTTCGCTGTAGGCTCCACGCCAAATTACAGGACAATAAATCCTACCAACCCCGCCAGGCGTAGGAAGTTAAAACACTACCGAAAAAAGAGTGCCAGTTGCCGGGCTTTATTCGCTCTGCCAAGTGGGTCGGCCACGCGACTCATCTGCTAGTTTTTAATAAGAAAGCACTTGGGCGATACCAACAATCTCTGCGGATGCTTAACGTCCAGCTTGGGTAAGACAATTAATATTTAAGCCCGACGGATCGTTTTGATACTAAATATGCGCGGTGGGAGTGTCTTAGGAATGCGGTCTCGCCCGCGTCGTCCGTTCAACTTCTTATTCTTATTTTTTTTTCTCTTTCTTACATACCCCCGACGCCGCCCTTGATCGCACGAAATTTCCTTCTCTCCTTTTACTCCCTTTACTCGTATTCTCCTGTACCTTCGCGCTTACGAACGCCTCCGCTCGGTCCTTTGTCTTCTCCTTTCTATTTCCTTTTTTTACCTTATACACTTCTCTATCTTTTCTTTCTTTCTCTTTTCGAAAGTCATATTTTCGCGTTCGCCATTCACAACGAAGAACTATCGTTTGCCGTTCCGGCGGAATGACGAAGAAGAGGTCAGGAGTCAATGCCCCCTCGTGTGCCCGTCCCTCCTCCCCACCGACTAACACTGTGTCCATACGGACCCGTACTACCGTGTGCTTACCAGAGTAAGCAGCATACGCGTGTTTACGTGTGCGCAACAAATCATTCAAATTTAATCGGAATGTCTACGGGTTACGTAATAACCTTTTAATTGACATCAACAAAGTTACGCTACGAGCCTAAACATTACGCTAGCAGAAACTCTGGATGTTCTTATCTGTCTCGATTAGACGTGGAAAGTGAGGGACTCCAGTTGTCTCGGTAGCGAATATCCTTCTGCATCCTCAAAAATAATCTCGAGTGTCTTACACGTGTTTGATTGGTTCTCCTTGTCTTTTTTTTTATGACGAAATTGCTTTATCTCTCACGGCGTCCAATATCTCGTACCATCTGCGGTGTGAACGTCATTTAGTCGCTACGGCAATATAACAGTGTGGTAGCCGCTTGATAAAGGTTTATTATGTTGTCCGACGCTTCTACGACGTTCGGTTATTATACTCGGAGTGCGAAGGATTTTTAGATGTCGCTGCTTTCCGCGTCTACGACAGAAATTGCCATGGAGATTGTTCGGGAACGCGTGCTCGTGCAACTTCTTTATGTCTACGTTGACTGTGCACTTAGGGCTAATTTCACGGAAGAGCCGCAGCGAATCCCATTGGGCGAACTAAGTCGTCCGTTAGATATGACGGAAACGTCGTGGTTAGAGCCGATGGCCGCGTGAATCGACGAGACACGCGCTCAGTTGACATTTGTGCCGACGGGTAGTCCGTTCGGAATAGTTACCAGCGCGTTTATTTTAGCATTCGACTCGGCAAGGAACGCAGGAGTCACGGACGACCTATCAGGTAGCGTTGCACTGGGAATATCCGGATTTGCTCAAAGAAATTATCCGAATTTAATTTCCTCATACCTTGGTACAGTGCGTATAATAGGTTCTTTTTTTTACGTTTCCCCGACAGCTTCGTAGGTGCCAACGCTACGTATCCGAGATACAACACATATTGCCTTCTGTAATATCGAGCTCAATGGAGATTCGTACGTTCAATTGATTGTTGGTTCGCTCGTGTAAAATTATTTAACACGAGGAACAGCGCTGGCCCGGCTAGATACATAATCAGACGGAGAACGTCGGAGTTTCGCACTTACCGCAAGCACGCTCTGTTGCTGCGTCTATATACACGGTGTCGTAATAAATATATGCCTGGGATAAAATAGCTAGGGGGAGAGGGTCGACCTTGCCCCGCAAATCGCCGACTGCTTGTTGCCAAGCTACACTGTATATATAGCTTGCTACGGCACACACCATGGTATACACAGGCGTTATGTTGAGTGTATATATATATATATATATATATATATATATATGTACGCTATACGTGGAGGACAGAGGGGTGACATACACAGTCGTAAAATGACTCACGTGTATTCGCTGGGCTTCGTTGCGTAAAGGTGTATATATATATATATAGGCATATAAGAGGAGAGGAAACACGCGAGCGCTCTGTTATGCACGTTTATACACTGTGCGCCGTACGATATGCGCCTCGGAGCAACGATGCACATGCACCACAATGCATCTAGGTGTAATCGTATTCGAGGCAGCCAACTGCTAAGTGGAAGCGCATATTATTTCGATGCGTGGGCGAGAAGAGGAAGATTATACGATAAAAGTTTCCACGCTTCGTCTTTTCTCGTTCTCTCTTTCTCTCTGTTGTTTTGTATATATGTACGTATATACATTGTTTTCTCTTGCTCTTGTTACCTCTCTCATCATTGGTTCTCTGCTTTAAATGAGCTACTTGTGTGTTTCACGGTTGACACTCACACTCTCAGTGACAAATTCACTCTCTAAAAGAGTTTTCGCGCGGCCGAGCGACCGAGCGCCATTTTAAATTGCCTTCTCTAGCGGGGAAAAAGTATAGACGATTTTCACCATACGCTTCTAGTTTGTGTATCGAGTAGGTCTTGTCTCTGTTTCGCTTCTGTGCTAACCATGTATTTTCTTGGCCCCATAGAGTCCGACGGGTAGAATTCGCTTACGCACTCTCTTTCTCTGCATTACCGGCCAAGCGAACGAGAGAGAGGGCGAGCGTACTTTACGTGCGCTTCGTCGCCTTGTGAATTCAGCCGTTCTAAGCAGCCGGTTACGTAAGGTTCCTGCCGTGAAAACGCTGCCGCTATTCGTGTAATATCAAAACTCCACTGAAAATCTCGTGCGCGTCTCTATTAATGGCTGCGGGTTAAATTCCTTCGACAGTCATTCTATATGTATAATGAGTGCTTGGTTTATTTATTCTGATTAGTATATAATAGTTCCAGGCGGGTCTGCAGAGAGACTATGAATAAATATGTATTCGTGACCGGCGCACTAGTCCGACCGATAAAGTTCCTCTGCTTGCTGGAAAGGAGAATATGGTAATGCCTATGGCGACTAGGCGGGTTATGTTGTCGGGTAGCGAGAGTAAAACGTGAACATAGCAGTCGGATGTTTCCATTAAGCGTTATTCTTGTATCAGATATGTATGAGGTCGCTTTGCTATTTTTTACGGAGACCTTAAACTTCGCCGCGATTGGACGAGTCGCGGAACGAGTCTAGGTCAAGGGCTGCTTGGACTCGGATTCCTCCGTACAATCCCGTAGGATCGATGCGAAGCATCGGGCGCGTTCGGTCGGATGAGCACATGGATGGATGGATGAATAAATGGACGGATGGTTGGTTTTCAAGCGTAGGGAGATTACCCATGGGGTCTTGTGAATCGACCTTAAAGCGGGAATGGCACGTTCCAAGCTAAACCCATAGACACTTGGCTGGAAAAAGATCGATGAGTGGGACCGGGGCAGCGCCGATCGAAGAGAAAAAGATGGAGAAACAGCTTGAGGAGTACACACAGTATGGAGTCTGGCTGACTCTGTATAATGGCAGATAGAATATAGTATACATGTAGAATAGAAACGGACGAGTGAGACGAAACGACGTCGTTGTTCACTCCTGGTCGTCTATGGTAGAAACGAGAGAGGGAAGAGTGAGGCGAGTCGCGCAGTCGCCATTTTTGGTTTGCTCGACATCCCGCTGGAATTCAATTCCACGCTTCTCGTTTCTTGGCTTCGGTAAGTCCACACGTTTTTCGAAAATCCCTGCGTAATACCGTGCGCACCGTAACGAGGTAAATAATTGCGACGACGCTTTTGAGCGTTGTCGTACGCGAGAAGAGTATATTTTATGTTGAATGAAGAGAGACAGTGGCGCCTCTAGCTGAAGGGCGAGCGCAACAGAGTGAGTTACTAGCAAGCAAGATGGAGGAGACTGTTATATTGAAGAGGGAGTGAGTGAGCGATAGTGTGGTGGGGCGGATAAGTGAGCGTCGGTTAAGGGGGTAAAGGGGGGCAAACAGTGTCTTGAAAAGAGAAAGAGAGGACCATAGGACACGACGACAGTACTAGTGTGAAAGAGGGAGACGCCACAAAGTAGAAGGGCAGACGCGCGCCGGAGGGAACAGCGTTCGCCGACTAGTTCTGCCTGCCTGCCACGTCCAACGCATACGTATATCCAACAGATCAATAATTCCCGATAGACAGAGAGCTGCTATAAAAAATACGGCAACCTATCGACAGAGGCTTTTGGGAGTGCCAGATTAAAAAAGAAACAAAGAAAATTCATCCGATTAGAGGATGACGCGATAATGAAAAAAGATACGGACATTCCACGAAGTATTTCATTTTCGGAAGAACGACACTTTCGCGTTCGATCGATTCTTCGTCGTCGTTCAACTGCTTTTCTTTTCTTCGTCATCTTCTGAAATTCTTCCTCATCGTTTTATTGCCGTTGCACGATCCGCATTTGTGCACACCGGAGGCACAGGGTATACGGTTTTTAAGGCGTCGGACCGGGTCTCCGGGTTGGTAATGGTGGGATGGTGGGCTGTTGGCCGGGTACCAGGGGGAGGAACCCTAGCAGCGGCTTAGTCTCATAGTGGGGATTGCGTCCGAGGAGAAATCCTCGTGGCGGAGAAGGAAGTCCAGGACCGAAGCGGTGGAAAACATTGGCGACGAACGCGAGCGCTTACGGCGACATTGCAAAGCCATCAGTTGCGAGCGACCGGGCGCTCGCTCGCATGTGAACCGGGTCTGCCGTGGTCCGCACGGATGTGAACGTGGCCTCGTGTGCACATCGCTCCCATACGCGAGGGGAGGAGGATCGCTCGCGAGAATAGCCAGCCGCTAGCGCGAGTACGCTTATACGCTATTCCGCGCTAGCGAAATAGCTTCGTCTTGTAGACTGTCCCGCACTCTTTCGGGCTACGAAGCGTAAGTTTTTTTTTTTTCCCCATTAAATACGACGGCCAAACGACAGTGCATTCTCCCACCTCGTTACGACAACGACTGGAATTTTTACATCGTTCACCCTCGGTCCGACATCCAATCCAAGTCTCGGTGACGCCGTGAAACCTACACCAGTGCGTCTGTGAAAAGTGATTGTTCAGTGTGTTACTTAGTCGTACAGGTTTTAATTATCATTAGATGCTTTTCGACGTCACACATATTTTATACCACGTAAGATATATCTAAGGGCTCTCGCGTCGTATCGTTCTCTTCTCCGGTCTCTGGAAGGTTGTTATCTAACCTTCTGCCATGGAGGTGGGGATACTCTCTTCACCTCCTCGTTCTATTCTCTCTTGTAGTGTTGACCAGAGAGAGAAAGAGAGAGATTGACTTTATAGTTGGTTCTTTCCTTTTTCTTATTCAATCTCCACTCACTTCTCTACGTCGCCCTATTGTATGCTTCCTCTTGCTCTCGAAGCAACCCGTGAAAGTGCGCGGACGCCTATGTTTCTCCGAGTACACCCTGAGCAACGTACATACGTTTCTGCGACATTATATTATAGTGATGTCGGGCCGTGCCCCATTCTGTGTCTGTTTCGCGCTTCTGGAATTACTGGTTGATTTCAGGAAAATCACGGTAGGAGGTCACAAATTGCGTTTCGATCGAAGTTACTGTGTGCTCTTAAATTTTTCGAGAGAACCTGGAGATCGTGATAGGAACGATATCTTGATTGCGGGGAGTCCTCGATTGTTCATTTTCTAATGGGATTGTATATTCAGTACTGTTTCTAGGAGTCTCAGCTACAGGGATCTCCTTTCTCTTCATTTCTTTGTGCTTATCCAGTACAGTCTTGTAACGTTCTCTTTCCTTTACATACCGCGTCCTGGATTTCACAATCGACAAATCGACTTCACGAGCTTCTTGGCCGATTTCTGTGTATTTTTCTTCGCTGATGTTTATCAATGATGATTCCTCATATTCGATATCTTATCACGTAATTTTTTAAGCTTATAGTGCATTTTTCGTATCTTTAAAAAAAAATTTTCATGAAAGCCTTTTTTCATGTTCCAATATGGTTTTTATGAGTTTTTATATTTCGATATGGAACTCTGGGTCATGTGGTTATGCACAATATTATCCTAATCATTAATTCCTTGTTGTGTCTCTGCTAACAATAAGTTATTATCTGTAACTGATTATCTTGTTTTAATCAAAAACTATTTTCAGGCAAATTATTATCCTCAGGGAATAAACACTTTCGAGTCATTATTTATAATATGCTTGTAGTGCGTAGTTTTTTTTTGAGATTTGGTGTCTTCCATTTCTTGGTGTCTTTATTTGATATTATCTTACTTAATATTAGTCATTTTTTATCTGCGTGTTAACTTCTAATACATTTCTCTCGCACGTAGGAGTCAGCCTGGCCAATGAGTTACTTTCAAGTAAATTTGGCATGTGGTTGCAGATGCTGTAATAAAAATAGTCACTGTTGGCTACTTGTTTATTATTTGCTCAGAGCCTTCTTTTTTTTTTTTTGAGTCAGAATATTTTGACCAAACAACATGTTCTTTCCAGTCGATCTGTTAGATATAGATTTTTCACATTGATATTTCGTTGGATTGCGCACAGAATTTTATTTAAGTATTCATTTTCACCTTATATTGTCAGTATGTACCATGCTTGAAATAGTTGAATATGGCTTTGTTCGTCATCTTTGTATTACTTGCACTATATACTTGTATTGTCACAAGTGTTATTCAGATCTTGCGAAACCAGTTATAGATATGAATATCATAGGCTGTCCTGCTTAATTGTTAATCATTCAATCAAAAAACATAATCTTGTTGTTTTTAAACTTTAACAAAATTCTCGTTCTTTATCGCTCTTTATTTGTATTGTCTACTATAATCCATTAATTCTTATTGTTGCAGATCTCTACTGGCATGGAGCTAGGAGCGCACTGATAGTGATAGTCTATGAGGTACATTTCATTTCTTAAAATATACACACTTCTTATGTATACACTAACATAAATTATCTTTATTCAAAACTATGTTTCTACTTCAAATCGAGCAATTCTCTATAGAACTTACATGTAATAACGATCTTAAAATATTCTGTGTACTTTTCTGTGTAGATCTTGGTTTCTATGCATTGCCTGCCAAAGAAGAACTGAGCCCAATGTTTCCACACAATTCTAGTTCACATGAGATTTCTACCGAAACAAATGCCTTCGTACAAAATTCCAAGGTAAGTGGATCGAGTGCTGCTTGTTATTTTTTCAGAAATATACAATTAAGAATGATCTTGCTCTCCCTGTTATTTATAACGAAGATCTATGGATTCCCTAAAGGATAATTTGCATACCCGTCTTTTTTTATTTCTTGCAGGGGGATGTAGTAGTATTAGAGGGTAGCAGTCTGAGTGGGGTGGGGGAGGGGGAAGGACCAGAGCGCGCTAGGTACTGTGATATCGAATTCATAAACAGCAGCATGATGGCAGCACCTACCAGCCACCCCGAAGCTACCGCCGCCAATGACTTCTTAACCGTCCTACCACGCCAATCTGGTAAGTTTGCATAAGTCTCATTATCATTCTCCAATCACATTAAAAGACAGATGCGCGAATATAAGTGATAGAATTGATATGGAATATAATGTTCTGTTTCTAATCCCACCAACTATGCACTTGAGACAGGTGTGAAGTGTCTTGAAGTTAGATAGAATTACGTTGATGCTGTACACTGTCAGTTGTGTATGAATGTAGAGAAGTCTTTTAGTTGTCTTGTGTTAATAGAGCTGAAAAGAATAAAAAGGTCAGCTTAGACGATACTTTGACGATTCAAACGAAAGTCAATTCGATATACACGCTACATGTAGATTAATGACTTAGGAAAATTGTTCCTCCGATATCTAAATATTCAACATAGTGCGTTTGATATTGCAGGTGAGCTCAGCTCAGCCGGTGTAGGCGAGGCCCGCCAGTCAGTGGCGCCAGCAACCACAAAAAATCCAAGAAATCACCTTCTAACCTACGATAATAATAATAAAGTAAATCACCACAACAATGCAGAACATAATCATCACAAGTACAGAAAGCAAAACACACAGGGCTCGCCTGGTCAGCTGGGCAGCTCCGCCGATAACTCTAAGTCTACTTGTAAGCCGTTAAGTGATAATAAGGATAGCTTTAGCGATCTAAGCGTTAGGGTACTAAAAGTAAGTTTAAATCTAAAAGTAACGAGGGGCGATGCGTGCCGCCCCGCTGGGGTACCTAGCCTAGTTAGGATACCCAAGTCTGATCGCCCCCAGCGGCTGCCGCGTCTCGCCGCCTCCGTCGACAATTACTCCTTACTAGGGTCCCGCCTTGACCAGGGCGACAACAATAACCTTAAGGCTAATCTTAGTTTCGTAAGTAATAATAACTCAAAGTCTGTGATATTGCTCAGCTCAACCAGTTACGGTGACTACTATCTCCTCCCCGATGGCGACCACGTCCGAGCAGACGCCGTCGCCGCGGCTCTTCTAGTTGAAAACGATACTTCTAACAGATCGAAAAGCATGAAATTACTAGGTGATAAGTGCTCCCCCGTTACCAGTTTCGCTCCGACCTCCCGGCGGCTCGACAAAAGCGTAATCTTGGACGAAGACAACGACAAACGCCGCGGCGATTTTCTCCCAAGCCTCCTGCGGATGGCAGGATACCCCGTGAAATTGCATTTCGATAGAGCCGCAGAGGCTCAGAAATTCGCGGTCGACACCGCCAGTTCTTCCATTACGCTTATCGTTTCCGAAGACGGAATCACCGAGCACACCCTGCGATCTACTGTTTATCTGGAAAATCTCACGCGAGTCCAAGTACCATCTCCTACTTCTCCACTAGGGCACGCTCCCGTGACCGAGCTGACGCAACGCATATGTGTTCCATTAACGATACAATGTAAGGATTACGTTAACGACATTGCTAATAACTATTATTATTATTGTATTAATGATAATAATAATAATAATAATACGACGATGATGACGACGATTATGACGATCAATGAGAATAACGATGACCACGATGACTTCTACGACGACTACTATCAATACGGAATGAGGAACCTCAAGACCAACGCGAAGAAGAGCGAGAAGAGTAGCGTTAGGAGTCACGGAGGAAATATGAATATTAGCAACAATAATCCAGATGTTATCGAAGACATTGTTAACGTCGCTTTGTGCTACAAGACTAGTTGTATAATGACTACTAATGTTAGGATGTTAGGGTCTCAAAATGATGGTATTAGCCGTACCGAAGCAACAATATTTACTGTTGGTGCTCTTTCATTTCAGGATAACGATAAGTCTAACAAGCCTCTAAACGCTAGCTTTAAGGACGATAAGTATCAAGTGTCTACTAAGGTTGATCTTAAATCTAACTCTAAGGTTAAGTCTGTATCTAAGTCTACGCTAAGCGTTAAGTCTAGCGATAAGTCTGAAACGTCTCACACCGCTCGACTTGACGAATCTGACGACGAAGAGCAAGTTCGGTCGGCCGTCAACATTCCTACATTGACTACCTGCGAGCCTACGATGACGCTTACACGCCAATCAGCCACCGTCACATCCCAAACTAACGCTGTACCTGCCTCTCGAGTCGAGAATCACTCAAACGACGACGATGACGACCATCAAGAATACCGCCAACACAACAAGAACAATTATCATAAACACTATGAACATCAGTATCAGCATGATGACGACACTCCTAGAGAAGAATCCTCTGGGAGCTATCTCCAAAGTGATCGTATACCTATTAACGAGTACGTTACGCCGAGTCTTAGAGACACTCAGATCAATGAGCCAATTCCTGATTTCATTAAATCACGAAAAATGACGAGCCACCAAATCTCAATTGGCAATTCAACGCGACTCGCCATTTTGGCTTCCACGTGCAACGAATCAACGAGCACTGCGTTCGCCGCGGCTTCGCGAAAAGCAGAACTGATAAGTCTAGTACGTGCCATCATTCCGGCTCTCAACAGAAAACTCGAGGAATTCGATGAGAGCCAATGCGAGGATGAGCGCCGTCAACTCAAGGACGCCCTGAGTATCCTCTTTGAACGCACCACGTCCAAGCGCTGCCAGGACCTTCAGGAGCCGATCATGGATTACAAACGACGATGGGGCATCCCGGCGATCCTTGGTTTGGCAGGCGGCGGAGAAAGTTCCTTGAATAGTGGTGGTGCTGCCAACTGGGGAACTACTCAAGCTACTACACCCAACAATAATAATGCTGCCCAGTCAGGATGGGGTGGTACACCTGGAAATCCTCCGGGAAGTGCTGGACCTCCTAGCAATTGGGGTGGTAACAATGTAAATCGATCTGTTACTGGAAATCCTAATCAAAATCAGAATCAGGGTCCGCCCGGAACGCAGAATAATCCAGGTAAATTGGTTTACTCAAATTTATTTTAATCAATTGTTTATTTTGTCCTGACGAATTGTTTAATAATTTAATTATCCTTCTTATGCGCAGGCAACGTGAACAAAGCTAATAACCCTAATCAACCGCCGAACTCTCAGTCCGGCCCACCAACTACTCAGTCGAATACCGCAGCCCAGGGTAATCAGAACAACGCCCAATGGCCTCAAGGCAAGTCCAACAGTGGTGGTCCTGGGCAAAATCCTTCCGCGCAGAACAACAACAGCAGTGCCGGACAACCGCAGCAACAGCCTCCGGGTCCCAACGCCAACAATAATCCAGCAAGTAACCCGCCCCAAGGAGCTGTTACTCCTGGCACCGCACCTGCCGCCAACAACCCATCGACCAAGCAGCAGCTAGAACAGCTGAATACCATGAGGGAGGCCTTGTTCAGTCAAGATGGTTGGGGCTGTGTAAGTATCTTGAATTAATTAATTATTGTTCAAAATAATACTTGCATAACGAGTGTATGATCTTCCGAAAGCAACGTGAAGATGATCAGCATCTGCCAGTAACACTTCTGCTGCTCTAGAAGCTCTAGTGTAAATGTCTGAGAGTCGTTTATTTTCGTACATAGCAACACGTAAACCAGGATACCAACTGGGACGTACCAACCTCACCAGAGCCAAGCATGACCAAAGATGGCGTACCAATGTGGAAGCCTCCAGTGAACAACGGCACTGATCTATGGGAAGCGAACTTGCGCAACGGCGGACAACCGCCACCTCAGCAACAGGCGAAGACACCCTGGGGTCACACTCCTTCTACAAACATCGGTGGAACCTGGGGCGAGGATGACGATGCAGCGGACTCATCTATGTGGACTGGAGCACCGACACCGAGCCAACCTAACACTGCCCAGTGGCCTGGCGGTGCCGGTGGTAACCAAGCTGGTATGTGGAGAGGAGGAGATATGCTAGTGAAGGCTGGAGATGCAAATTCTATAGCTCGAACGGGTTTCCAAATTTTGAGTTTTAGTCGGATATTTTCTACAGAAGATCTCCAATTATCTTCAAGTGACTATGTTCAGAAGTCTTATTACTTGTATTTTTGTCTACTTTAAATTATCTATTATATGCTTCGCGAAGAAACGGCCATTATATTATGTAAAACATTTGTCAAAACTTCAAATTGCACTTCAATCGTTTCAACGTCTTATTCGATGAAAAAATTTTTTCTCTTGCTTCTTCAACTACTGAACACGGCAAAAGATTTTATTTTCACGTGAACATTTACTGTACACTCGTGCAATAAAACGTTTTAGTATCCTATGTATATAGACATGCTCTGTTCAATTGCTGAAGTATTTTTGACACAGAAAGTATTCTATGATGCCTGCTTGCACAATATAGTATACATGCTGTATATGTTTTAGCAAATACTTATATACGATGCTTTCTTTGTTCGGCTACCATGCAAACAATTCTGAGCAAAGTCGTTTTGTTGAATCTTATCCGGAGATATTATTGACTGTCAATTGTTAGTATTTCCTTTTGAAGACAGCTTACACCTGATCTTGCAGCTGGTTCTGGCAAGAGATATTTTTAAATAATTTCTGTTGCAATGTGTATGCACCTTCAGCTACGCACAATCTATGTGTAATAGTGTCTCATACGTTTACATTGCGATCCTTATTTGCTTGTTTTTTGATAGCACATAATGATACTCCGGCATTCACGTAGCTTTAAGCCAAGGGTGGGGTTGGGGAATGATAATGTTACTTTTGGTTTTGGAAATGTTATCTCATTTTGCAAAATGTGGAATTTGGTCTATGAAACTTTCAGTTGCTGCAAAGCACAAACGGGTCGATAACTCTATATCTTATATATTGTTGCAATAGCCATGTACCTAGTGTGCGGGTTTTCTCTGTCCTCTGACTTTATGTAAATAGTTTTGAAACTATTCTTATTTGATTCCAGCATATTCTATGTTCAGTGTTACTTGCATATATCTCTTTATAAGGATTTACATAAATAAAAAAGAATAACTTTGCAATCATTAAACGGTTCGTTCATTCTACAAATTCTGTAGGAACAAACGTTTTAAAGTTACTTATTGACAAGACTGAGAATTGAAAGTACATTTGAAAACATTTTGTGAAACGAATGAATTTCAGAATCGACAACTTTTCCAAATACCAAATAAATTTTTTTAATCTATTAACAAGAAAAAGGTACAAAGAATAGACGGATGAATTTTTATAAACAGGATCAAGCTGGGGCGATCCCAGGATAGATCCCAGAGATCCAAGGGATCTGAGACCCGTAGATCCACGTGAGATGCGCGATCCACGTGATCATCGTATGTCATTGGATCCGCGAGATCACATGCGCGTAATGGATCCAATGGGTCGCGACCATCGAATGGCCGACATGCGTGGGGACTCACGTGGAATTTCTGGACGTCTCAATGGCGCAAGCGCCGACGCAATGTGGGGTCAGCCTCCGGGTCCACCTCATCATCAAATGGGCCATCAGCATCCTTCAGGACCACCCGTGAAGATGCTGAATCCCTCAAGTATGAATCAATGGGCTGCTCCGCCACCGAAAGACATGATGCCAGGAAAGCCATCTGGATGGGAGGAACCATCGCCACCCACTCAAAGAAGAAACGTACCGAATTACGATGACGGTACCAGCCTCTGGGGTAACCCTGGTGCGAATCAACGAGCCATGCCAGGTAGTAAAGTCTCTCACTGGAAGGACCTACCCACTCCGAATCTGGGACGCGGAGGTTCACAACCAGGTATATATCGCAATTACTATAGCCTCGTTATAATTTGCCTGATCTTGGTTTAATCAATATCTCAATTATCAAGATCAATCTCTAATTAATTCTTTTTTTTTTGTTATCTACATCATCAGGTATGCAGTGCCCACCGGGTATGCCACAAAATCGAATGCCAGGACAGCCAGGCATGAAGCCAGACGTCGGTGGACCAATGTGGGGACATCCTGGTGGTCCAGCCGGTCGCAATGGCTCCTGGGTTGACGGTCCACACGATGCAGCTGGTTGGGATGATCCTAAGACACCAGCCGGCTGGAACGAACCTCAATTGAATCCAGCGACCTGGGGTGGACCCACGGCACATAAACCAAAACCAATGGGACCCAGCGGCAGTTGGGCAGATTCTGAAATGGATCCTACACCCAGTTGGGGCCATCAAACTAAACCAGCTCTAACTAAGGAAGTCATATGGAACAGTCGCGAGTTCAGATATCTCTGCGATTTGGGTTACAAGGTATGGCATTTCAATTCTGTATCTTGATTTGTTACTTATAATTTCTATTACAGCCTGTGCGTTACTTTAATCGTTTATTTATCTGAATCTATAGAAGGAGGACGTGGAGGTCGCGCTGCGAAGCCGCGAGATGAACAGAGACGAAGCACAGGAACTTTTGAATCAACTTCGTCCGGTTGACCAGTGGCGCCGCCACGATGCTCACGCCGGATATGATCCTACTAATCAAGTAACACCGGCACCAGCCTATCCCAGATTCAATCACGTTGCGCAACAGATGTCTTTCCCGCCGGTAAGACCAAAGTTAAATCATTATTTCGAATGCCGCGCACTTATTCTGTCAAAAGTCAAAAACAATTTTTATTACGTAACCGGTGACCTCTGTATATTTAAACATTTACCATATATACAAGGGATCCACTTAGTATAAGAACTTCTTTTTTTTTCTGATACATTGTTTCTGGTAAAATCCTTTACTACCCCGTATCGTGTCAACCCGTAACTTATTACCTGGATGAACCATGTTTATAAAAACATAACTGTGATGAATCTTTATTTTAATTTGACTGACAAAATACGCGCGTGGTGTGATTTATGTATATGGTGTTGAGTGACGACTGTGTAACATGCGTTGTGCGAATTGATACGGTCCTAACCGGTGTTTTATAAAATTTAACAACGAAAGCAATGACTAGAACGTATTAGAAGAGATTTGGTACAGTATTTTTACGTGGTGAAGGTTATTACCAGCTTTGATGGAAACAGTAGACGATGCGATATAAGGTACAGCCTTGCAAATAGCGCACCGTTTTATTTGTCGTGTTGTGTGTTTTGTGTGTCCATTAGTGTGCATATATTTTTAATATTTACATTTACGTAAACGAAAAATACGTGCCTTGGATTCAAATACAACGGGATACCATATACGAAATGTGATACCGTTAAGTCGTACAAAAGAAAACAAAAATTCAATCATTTTTCATATTAATTCCCACGTATAATTCATTTGGTAAAATCGGAGTGAATGATCCTTCTTAAATTTTCTCTAAATTATATTACGTAACTGTGCTATTTATAACCCATTGCCGATTAGGTCATACCGAGTCACGGTTAATGGATAACTGCAACGAAATACGAGGAGAGTCGACGGAGAGAAAGAATTGTTCATACTTAACCATGCGATTATGAAAATCTTTGGATTCTAAATTTTATCTCGTTACATAATATACACGCTATTTCAAAATTAACTCGGTGACAATTAACGTCTCTAAGGGAAAGTTTGACGTTTCTATTTGAAAGACTGTACCTGGACACGGTTAAAGAACAACGTATGGAGTGATCGAGATAAACGAGCGTATGAGTATCACAGTTAAGAGTATGAATGCCAGATGAAGGTGTGGAGGTCGGAGGTCATAAGGTTGCTGGGAAGGGAACATGGGGTACAGGGTTGTTCGTGTTTAAATGCAGGGGGCCGGTGTGCCCAGCGGGGCTGCCACTGGCGGTGTAAGTGGCTCCGTGGCCAGCGCCAGCCTTCTCAAGCTCCAGCAACAGCAACAACAACAGGCAGGTGTTCAGCTACAGCAACAACAGCCCAGCGCCAACGCGCCGCAGCCTCCTTTCAACCAGGTGAACTACCTGATGTCCGACTACACTTGGATACGCGATATGCGATGCCATTTCTATTACAATATCATTCCATTCCTCATCGCTGTATTCCTTGGAACAAAGATCATACAAGTTTTACAACACTTCTTTGTCCGAGACCTACAATTCCTGAATCCGTTACAAAAGTCTCTTCTTTGCTACACTTCAGAATCATGTACGCAAAACGACCGATACACTATTCGGCTCTGTAATTGTTCCATGCATGTAGATATGGGACTCCTTTTTTTTCCTCTTTTTTTTCTTTCTTTTTTTTTCATTACTTTCATTTGACTCCACGATGTTGGAAAGAAATTACTGGAATACGATTCACGCGCTGGTGCATTTTATTTTTTTCCGAGTAGATTCTTGTTGTCCGATGAATTTGGTAGTTGCGAATGGTTCTTTTGGTTTCGTTCGGAATTATCTATGACTGTTTGTCGGGACGAATTTTTTTCGGTGAAAATTCTTATTCGCGAATAAGGGTCAGGTGGGAAATTTTTTGTAATCGTTGGCAATGTTACATGGTTTTGATATTTGCGCCTGCGCAGTGAAACGAGTAAACGAAAAAGACATATGCTTGCGTTGCACGAAGAATTGCTTATGCTTGATCTTATTTAATTGTCTTTTTCTTTTTCATTTTCTTCCTCTTAACATTATCTCTATTATTTGCGAGGGTATCATCCTCAACAGTCGATTTGTGGACTTGCATACTGTGATGTGTAACGAAATCACAAAATTTCTACAATTCGATTGTTAATATGTCATCGCTTACTTGTATTGGTAGAAAGTAATGCAAAGTCGTCACGTGCAAGGCTTTATTTTTATTTTCAAGATTATAATAATTTTCTGATAAAGTATTTCACTTTTCTCTGTCAAGAAGTTACAATTGTTTAGATAATAATTTGTCGCAGTAGTGCCCCACGTGACGCGTCTTGTAGTGCTAGATTCGAAGGTTCAAGAAAATTCTTAATATTTCATAATAAAAATCTTTGTTTCCAGGCATCGCGAACGCCGCAAAATCAGCCGAGCACGCAGCAGCTGCGCATGTTGGTACAGCAGATCCAGCTGGCAGTGCAAGAAGGATACCTGAATCATCAGATCCTGAATCAGCCACTGGCACCCCAGACGTTGATCCTCCTGAATCAGTTGCTGCAGCAGATCAAAGTGCTGCAACAGTTGCACCAGCAACACTCTGTGCAGACGTCCTTGAAGGGGAACAGTCAGACGCTCCTGCAGATAAGCGTGCAGATCACAAAGACTAAGCAGCAAATAACAAACCTTCAGAATCAAATTGCCGTGCAACAAGCGACTTACATGAAGCAACAGCAACAGCAGCAGCATCCCGCAGCGCCATCTCAGGCATCCGAATACTACAAGACTTCGGTCCACGATCCCATGTCTGCCCTACAGAATAGCTTCAGCGACCTAACTATGAACAAGGAGCCTTCGGTGGTGAGTAGCAAAAAAAGAAAAAGCGATTAATAGAATTATATATTGATTAAATCATTGCGAGTGGGCAACTGTTTCAATCTGAATTACAACGAGCACGTATGTACTGATATCGTTATAGAGTCAACAACAGTCCAGGTTGAACCAATGGAAGTTGCCATCACTCGACAAGGACGGCGATATCGCCACAAATGAATTCTCACGTGCTCCTGGCACGACGAGCAAACCTCCTACCACACCCGGTGGATTAGCTCAGTCACACAGCAGCCCTAATATGAACCCGTTGCTTGGACAGGGTGATGGCACCTGGTCATCCAGATTGGGAGACAGCGGATGGCCCGACGCTGGCAACAGTGACTCCACTGATGGAAAGGACTGGCAACCGGGTGGTGCGGCATTCACCGACCTAGTGCCCGAATTTGAACCTGGCAAGCCATGGAAGGTAATCCATTCCCAATACCGTCAGCCATATTTGTCCCGTGCTACATACGTACTTGGAGTTTAAAGAAAAAGACAAACTACTCTGGACATATAAGGTTTCCAATTTTTCCTCATGGCACGCAACACTTTGTCGATCTTGTGAATTAGATGAGAGATCGTTCGACCTCGTGTAATTTGAGTGGTCTTTTTTTTATCCATATGCGCTCTAGCACGCGGTTTACGTACGGTTACGCTGTACGTAAAGAGGGTACTAGTTAATAAGGTTTGTTCGGATCCACCTATATTTGATATCGTTTTAGGGTCCCCAGATGAAAAGCATTGAGGATGATCCTAGTATTACACCCGGCTCAGTAGTGCGTTCACCACTGTCGCTGGCAGCAATTAAAGATCCTGACGCGATCTTCTCCTCGAGCACCAAGACTTCACCGCCACCACAAAGTGCCAACGTTGACACTTCTATTCCCAGCCTCAGCAACTCAACCTGGAGCTTCAATCCGCCCGCCACTACTCCCAGTGCTTTCACCAGGTAAGCATTCATGAACTTCATAAATCATTGGGTCACAACCGACCACGAAATTAATATATACCCCCAAGCGTCCAAGAAATCAACTGAAGATATCTTTCAAATGTATTTATATCGTTAATTTTACAGCTCGAAGAACACTTGGGGAGACTCGGCGCCTCCACCTACGTCAGTGACGTCTGAACTCTGGGGCGCGCCCATGAGCAAAGCCCGAGGACCACCTCCTGGCTTAGGCAGCAAGGGTGCCGCAAACGCCAGCAACGGCTGGGGAGCTGGCCTTGGCAGTGTCAGCAGATCCTCTAGCTCCTGGGGCCTCCAGTCGAGCGCTGGCGGCAACACTGGTTGGGTGTCGACCTGGTTACTTCTAAAAAATTTGACACCCCAAATCGATGGATCGACCCTGAAGACTCTGTGCATGCAGCACGGACCTGTCCAAGATTTTCGTCTGTACCTGAACCACGGAATTGCCCTTACTAAATACTCGTCCAGGGACGAAGCTATTAAGGCAAGTACACGCGGAAGCCCATTATATATATATATCGTACGCAGATAATTTTAAACCAAATAAGCACTTCAATAATATTCATTGGATCTCTCTCATTCAGGCTCAAGGCGCATTGAACAATTGCGTCCTCGGTAACACGACGATATTCGCAGAGTCACCCGCGGACAGCGAGGTGCACACGCTTCTACAGCAGCTCAGTCACGGCGGTCAGCAACAGACTGGTGGCTCCGGTGGTAGCGGTTGGGGCCTAAGACCCACCAGCAAAGCGGGACCACCTCCAGACACATGGGGTGGCAGTTCCAGTCAGCTCTGGGGCGCACCGCCTTCGACCAACTCCTTATGGAGCAACACCGGCATCGACAGCAGCGATCAGCAACGAGCAACTCCAAGCTCTCTCAACTCGTACTTGCCCGGAGACCTTCTGGGAGGTGAGTCGATGTAGAGAGCGAGCCCCTTCGGCCAAAATACTCAGAGCACGTAACGAAAGGTCAGACAACGCAGACGAAGGCGCAGCTTTTGTTGGGTCACGCAGCGAACACGCGAGTTCCCCCAACCCGGCAGGCAGGCAGCAGCCTCACTTTGGTTCTCCGTTATAACTTACTGTTATTCTTTTTTGTTTTTGTTTATTCTCTTTTTTATGGAAACACAAGAAGAAGAAAATGAAAAGAGCGATAGAAAAAAATCTTCGTTTCTCGCGATGCGTACGTCGCAAGGCCTTCTTTTTTTTTTTTTAAAGCGTCAATATACAGTTTCGACTTCTTTATATGCAATAGTAAATTTTCTTGTCATTTTTTGCACTTCGCTACAGTCGAAGAGTCTGACTATTATACATAACGACAGTGTCACTGCTAGAACTTTTTTTATATGTATTTGACAGAATTGTTCTATACGTCGTGTAATGACCCCTACACTTTTTTTTTTTACAAAGAAATGATGAAGATAAAAACAAGTGAAAAGAAACAAAGATACTATACTCAATCTTATCCCGGCGTCCTGGCAATTAAAATATAACCGAGGAGCTAAGAGGCTTGCGATGTATGTCGTGCGAAACGGTCAAAAAGAGTCTTCTCGAAAACGTCAATTACATACACGCTAGGGACACAATTTTTAGGAATGTGCGTTACATAGTATGACGAAGAGGATATAACAAAAAAAGAAAAAAAAACAAACGAAGCGTATGACGATAATGAAAATGCTACTCTCTTAAGATGAAGTAATAGAAAAAAATTGCGAACGGTGGAGAACGAAAGAAAGAAGAGGAGAAGGGGAGAGAGAGGTGGCGGAGGAGAGATCGAAAAAAAAAAGCCAATAATAATGATAACTCACGATGACACTATTACGCAAGGTCACAAAAGGAACACTGGGATATACATAAAGCCAAAACGATCTTACGCGAGAGATAACCTAATTTTACATGACAAACTACTTACTTGTACGCGCCATAATGGCGACGAGGAGGAAGTCGCCGTCCAATGAAAATTCGCATATCGGTCGTTCGCAATATGCGACATCCTCCTCGTCGCCGTGGGGCACGGCGCTTAAGAAAAATTATAAGAGACCATGTGGTCATCACAGACCGTGCGATCCGGTTTCGATAGAAACGCTGAATAGAAAAAGACTCGAAAACAAAAAAAAAAAGAACGAAGCGAAATGCGAGCTTCGATTTTATCTCTGATAGGAGTTAGCGCGAAGAGACGTGTTTAATTATGTGTTCGTGCCGATAGGATTGACAATTAAGTGAGGTTTGGGTTT